ACAATTTAAAATCTGCATTTACATTGGCTCAACAATTTCAATTCTAGATGTCCGTCTTACAGAAATACTTGCATTAATTCCCAAAGATGGATTTGAGAATTTCTTAACAATAAATATCTATTACCCTGTTTCCCCAAAAATAAGACATCCTCCGAAAATAAGACCTACTTACAGGTTTCCTTCTGAGTGAAATATAAGGCATCCCCCCAAAAATAAGGCCCCCCCTAGGCTAAACATGAGAGATTTGGTCCACTGATTCTGAAAGAAATGGAGTCACAAGAAATTCACCAGGAAATTCAGGAATTGGATTGTTATGATGATGTTCCAGAAGATGATGACATGATTGTCATTGAATAAATGAGTAAATTCTTGATACTGTAGGATTCACAGTTTGTGTTGACAACTACCGTACTACCGTACCATATACAAGTAATAAATTTCCTTTATTTTCATTTAACAATAAATGTGTACCGTATTCTTCTTCATGGAAAAATAAGACATCCCCTGAAAATAAGACCTAGCGCATCTTTGGGAGCAAAAATTAATATGAGACACTGTCTTATTTTTGGGGAAACAGGATATTTATTAAATTATTATTTATTTTTTTGATACAATTTTAATTTTATTTGAATTTCACAAAAGAAAAACAGGATATTTAACAGTTTGTAAAACATTGGCAATTGCCAAAATGTTCATCAATAGGGCAAAGGTTAAATTATAGTGCTTGCATCCTACATTCTTCGAAGTCATTAAAAATAGAATAGGTTTATTTATCCAAACATAAGATGACAATAAATTAAGTGAAAAGGGAAAAGAACAAGCAGCTTGTATATGATCCAATTTCTTTTAAAAAAAAAAATCACATGCCGAAACCGGTTTTGCTCAGTGGTAGAGCGTCCGTCTGTGGACTGAAAGGTCCCAGATTCTATTCAGGTCGAGGGCCTGTACATTGGTTGCGGGCACATCCCGGGGAAGGGTTGTGCAAGAGGCAGCTGGTCGATGTTTCTCTCTCATCGACATTTCTAGTTCTCTATCTCTCTTCCTTCCTCTTTAAAAAATCAATAAAATATATAAAAAGAAAATCACATAATTATTGTTACTCTTTTTCTCTTTTATGTAAATAAGAATGAGTCTTAAAAATGTTAAGCCAGAATATTCATTAGGACATATTTTCAGCATCATTGACATAAATTTCTATGAGGAAAAAAAATGTCAAACAGAACATATTATGTTTTTTAATGTTCAATAAATACTATATTCAAATATGTTAAATATTCCAAAGTCACAAAAGGTTATTTGGTAATATGCCTTCCTCCCATCTGCCTCTCTCCGATACCCAGCTCTCTCCCATGGGCAAACCATATTACAAGTTTTGGGGTATCCTTCTGAAATATTTTATGCACATACAAGCAAATAAGTACCGTTTTCCTTTTTTTTTTTTTTTTTTAATCAACTGTATATCCCTTATCTTTATTCATAATAAAGAATTAAGCTTAGTGAGCTTGCAAATTTTTTTTTTTAATGGGAGGATGCTCTGTGCGTGTCTTGAGTGTGTGTACGTGTGTGTGTGCTCTCGAGTGTGTGCCAGTGTGTGCAGTGTATGTGAGAGGGAGTGAGGGAGCTTGAGCTTGCAAATTTAAAGTATTTCCAATATCATATTTCATGGCCTTATGTTGATGGTCTCAAGAAGGTATCTTCATGTTTGTATCATGCTTCCATCTTTCTAAAAGCTGTGGGAATTTCAATTGGGTCCCTAAGGCAAAAAGAAACACTAATCGTGACTATATTTAAGAAACACGAGGCATGGTAATATTTATCGTGGAAACTCTTAAAGTATTTTGCTATAATGAAGTGTTGTGTTTAACCAGTGTTAGGTTCACAAACATTTTACAGCCAAGTATGGATTTTTGAACTATAATGCTTACATAATACATGAACAGTGTGTAGTTATTGTTTTCTCTTAATTGTTCATACTTTCATAACTGCTGGTCTCTAACCTGGGATATTTATTTAGATGGTGCAAATTTTCCCTACTCAGCACCTCGATAATTTTCCCTACCTAGCAACTCTTTCTTATTTGGGTATATTCCTCAACTTCTTTATATGGTGAACTCCTTGAGGACAGGGACCATGACTTGTGTGATTTTTATATTAACCAACCCTAGTTCCCTTCCAGGAAGCATTAGACGTTCGGTAACTGCTGATCAGAAGAAAAAAAAAAAAAACCACAAACTTTATACCAGGGGTAGTATTTGAGAAGATAACATCTAAGACTGGGAAAATTAGATGTGTGTCAGCCGGAGTAAAACAGAGAGAGAGGTGAAAAAGTGCATTTGGGAAACAGAAAAAGTTCGGTGCAACTGGTGCACACATTTAAAGAGATGAGATACACACGGGGGTGCCTCCAGGGTAAAGTTCAGATCCTTAGTTTAGCAAGAGACACCCCACCTGGCTCTGAAGCCTCACCTCCTGCTATTTCAGATCCCTTAGGTCTGGTTATATCCAATTGCTTGCAATTTCCTAAAAACATCACATTCTTCCACCTCGATAGCCTAGAGAGATCTTGGCTAGATAGCACAAACTTTTCCCATCCACCCATTTTTGCACGTTTGTAAGGAACAGATTCGCAATCTCCTCACTTCCTATAACACTGACATCAGCAAAGTACTCTATCCTTTCCTGCGAAAGCTCTTCTCCCTTCTTCAAAACTCAGCTCCACTACCACTTTCCCAGGGAAGCTTTCCCTGTTCCATCGGATTAATATGCAGGGGCCCCTCCCCTGCTAACCTCTGTATTGGGGTTCACTTACAGTTCGTTGGCGTGCACAGCTGCCTGCTCAAATCTAAGCAACGTGAACCGGCTTTTTTTTTCAACTTCAGCTTCCTGGGAGCCAGAAAATAGTACTCCTGAGTCTGTTGTGTTAATGAGTAAGAAAAACGGCCCCCCTTTTTCCAATAGGCCCCCCCCCCTCCCTACACTTGAAAGCCCAGAGACTCACTTTGCTGCGGACTGTAGATCCAGGTTCACAGACTGTGAACATCAACTAAAACAATCTGTCCGTCACTCTCGGGGCTGCTACTGTGTGTCTCCCGCTAGCCAACCAAGTGAACACCCGGCCAGAGGAGAGTTCACGGCCCTCCGTGTTTGCCCAAAGACTTGGCAAACGTTTCTGGTTTGGCGCCGGCCTGAGCCCAACGTATAGGAAGGAGCCTGCAAGGCCCAAGGCAGAAGACTGGCGTGTGAGTCCGGACTTGCAAAGCGCTCCCCAAGCCTGCGGTTTGCATGATCAGGTCAGGGGCTGCGTGAAAAAAGGAACAAGACCCGAGGCCTGTGAGACCGCTCTGGGGCCCAGGCCCATCTTGCTCAGCGGTTCCCAGAACCTCAGCGCTCAAGACCTGAGCCGGTAGGAGTCGCCTAAAGAGGCAACTGAGGCGCCGCCGGGTGGAAGCGCTGCAGGGCTTTGTTCTGCGAGGCACCCGCGCGCAGTCCCATCCCCGCAGGCGGCGGCCGTCCCCGTGCCCCGCTTGACAACCCCGACGACCTCTTGGACCGACCGGGTGGTGGAAGAAAGGGCTCCAGAAAGTTCCAGGAGCACTAGAAGCCCAAGCCCCACAAGGCAGTTCGGCACAGCCCGCTCCGAGCCCGAGCGCCCCCGCGCCGTTGCCCCGGGCAACCGCGGGGCGGTGGCGGCGGCGGGAGGGGCGGGACTTCCTGCGGGTGACGCGGCCGGGGCTCGGCTACAAAAGACGACGGCTGCGGCTCGCCGGGCGGAACTTTCCAGAACGCTCGGGGAGAGGTGGAGGAGCGGCGGCGGCTGCCTAAGCTGCGCGCAGCAACGCGCCCTTTCCTGCTCCTCCACGCCTGCCTCGGCCCGCTCACCGGTGAGTCTCAGCTCCGGCGCCTGCCCGAGGCCCCAAGCCGGCGCCATTGGCGGCGCCGGGAAGCTGGATGGATGGAGCCGCGGTCGGGAGGCGGTTGGCTCCGCGTGGGCGGGAGGGCTGTGGGTTCTAGGATCCACGATTCCCTTTGGCGGGGGGGGAGGGCTAGCCATCCCCGGCACGGAGTGTGAGTGGGCCCGAGACCTTTCACAAAGCTGCCCCCCCCCTGCAGCCCGGGGTCTCCGGGACCCGCCGCCTCCGGCTTCCCTCCGGGCGCCCCTTCCCCCCGCGCTCCCTGGGGGTGGGCGGCCCAGCGCGCAGGCGCAGACGGAGCTCAGGGCGAGGGGCTGCGGGCGCCGCGGGGCGGAGGCCGCGGTTTCGCTCCTCCGGCCTCCCCTCCTCTTTGTTGCGGCCTGGGCTTCTCCCACCCCCTTCCTCCATGGTGAGCGGGGGTGGGGGGGGGAGGTAAGAGGGCAGGGGGGAGGAGAAAAGGAAGGAAACCTCAACGATCCGCGCCTAGTGCCCGGGGACACAGCGAACGACGTTTTCGCGACGCCGAGCTGGTGGCAGCGAGGGGCTCGGCGGTCTGCGCGGAGGCGCTGTGGGTCCTGAAACCGAGAAACATAACTTAGGATTGCCATGAATCGTTTCATAAACCGCTTCCTGTCCCTTTGTACCCAAGTGTATTTTCCCCCCCCACCCCCCTAGGGAGTGTGTGTGTCTTGTCATATTTACCCGAGACCGTGGTGATGGAATAGCCGGTGGGCTGGACCTGTTCGTGCCCCTTCTGATTCCCTCTGTCACTGCCGGGGCCGGGGAGCGGGAAGAAGCCCCACAGTGGGGAGGCTTTGGTGTGGGAGAATGGGAAGCAGCTGCTATAGGAAGCTTTTGAATTATTCCTTGATAATTATTAGCTTATGTTTGATCTGTTAGAATTTGTTGAATTATCAAAGGAATTGTTACCTTCTCTGACCTTTAAGGTATAGGTAAGGTTTTTATAGTCAGATTTGGCAAAGAACAGGTTTCTCGGCCATATCTAGGTATGATTTGACGAATTACAAGTACCAGCGGAAAGTCGGTTAAAATTGTTTTGTTTTTTGTTTAAATTTCAGGCTGTCAAAAATGGTGAAAGAAACTACTTACTATGATGTTTTGGGGGTCAAGCCCAATGCCACCCAGGAAGAACTGAAAAAGGCTTATAGGAAGCTGGCCTTGAAATACCACCCTGATAAGAATCCAAATGAAGGAGAGAAGGCAAGTTGTATATTCGTGCTCAGATGTAACCTAAGTAGTTTTTTTGGCCAGGTGTATGGTAGTTCCATAACAACCTGAAATTGAGTATGTCCGGTATAGTAGCTATGCTTCGTAATACTTCTTTAAAGTGAGATTTATCCTTTTCTCAAACAGTTTAAACAGATTTCTCAAGCTTATGAAGTGCTCTCTGATGCAAAGAAAAGGGAATTGTATGACAAAGGAGGAGAACAAGCAATTAAGGAAGGTGGAGCAGGTGGTGGTTTTGGTTCCCCCATGGACATCTTTGATATGTTTTTTGGAGGAGGAGGAAGGATGCAGAGAGAAAGGAGAGGTAAGAATAATCCAATCTATATGCAGCAATTCACGGTAGCCCTTGGTCAAGGCAAATTCTTGAGAATTCATCTGTTTTAAATGTTGGTTTACATGTTATAATTTTGCAAACTGCACTGCCATTTTTATCTGTGGTATAGTTTTTTAAAATAAGATTTGATGTAACTAAAATTATCTAGACCAAGTGCTAACAAGTGAATGCTTCTAAAGCTCTTGGACAGTGGGACACAAACTTTAATAAAATTGTCAAGCATTAATTAAAGGAACAAAGAAAGTATAAGAACATAACTTTCAAAGTCCTTTTTAAGATATTATTTGACGCCCCCAATCTAGTGGGAGGTACTCAGTTGAAAGTGAGTTAAAGTTAAGAAACCTAAACTTCCCACCAAGTTATACAGCAAGGCATCAGTAGTCAGGATTGGAACATAGATTCTTTACTTAGAAATAGTCTGCTATCTGTTTAATTTTGCTTCAGCTTTATTATTTCCTGATATATGCCCTTAACATTTATCAGAAATGCCATTTCCTGGCTGTAGAAATATTCTTCATAGGAAAACAGTGTTCGGGTCAGAATCAATCTCATTTGTTCCCAGGATAGTTTATAAAAATAAGGGCCAATAGGTAGAGTCCATTTTAGAAGGAATAGGGAAGCCATTAAATTTTCACTGTGAGCTTTTTAAAATTCAGAAAGACTAGAAATTGTTTACTTATTTTTCCCTGAAAGAAAGGGATATGTTTTTATAATTATCTTTTTAATGATGAATTGACTGGCAAACTCTTCTATGTGATTTAGATCACTGAAAGGTCTGTGTGTGGGACACTAAAAAATACTTGCATAATCAAATTTAATAAGCTTTTTCCCCTTTATACTCTCAAAACTTTAAAGCTAAAGTAAGAAAGGCAGCTTTCAACGTGCTGGAACCAACTGTATGGGGCTATATTTGTGACCTAGAACCCAAAGATGAAGCTAGGAGCAGGGGGATATAGTTAATGGTGCTTCTTAATTCATTGGAAACTAAAAATGTTCACAACAGGCATATTGTGCAGATAAGAGTTTGAGAACTTGTTTTCACTTGGGCATAAGGCAATACTGTTTTGTGGTGGAAAAGCCCTTGGGAAGAATTATTAGCTGGGAACATATTGACCATTGACAGGTGACTTCATTTCTGTAGACTCAGTGTCTTCATATGATCTCTTTCTTCCACTTCCTATTCTGAAATGAGTTATGGCACTTCTTTGTAGCCACTGGCCACAATAAATTTAGATCCATTAAAAAAGTACAAAAATTGTTTTTCATCTGCCACATGTGACTAGTGGCTATCGTGTGAAATAGCATGAATATAAAACATTCCTATTACTGCAGCAAGTTCTTTTGGACAGCACTATGATAAAGGATATGATAAAGTGCTAGTCAAGCAGTAAATATAGAAGTAGGAATTGATATTCTGTGGAGATTGAATAAATGCATCCGCTTCCCCAGCCAAATCTTGGATTGGTTGGAACTTGGAACTTAGTGTGCTGAAGAATTTTTGGATGAATTAATAGGCCACATTGCTCAATATCATCTTAAGTGAAAGATTCAAAGAATATATTGGAACAGAAATGCAGTTTGAAATAATTATTATGAAATGTGCCTCTATAAATGGCATTGGTTCTCAACTGATTTGCAGTTCATATTTTTGATTGCCATAATTTGTAAGATAGCCACAACCACATTCTTAGGCAAATTACTTAATCTCACCCAACTTTTCTTATCTGAAATTAATTATAGTTTGAGGGTTATGTGTGGGTATTATGACCAACATTCTATGTATATAATAGGTACTTAACAAAAGTACCTTGTGAGCTTTATCTTTTATTATTATTTTGATGGTACATTGAATACAAGATGGTATGTACATCTTAGATTTTAATGAGCATTATTTATTCTAGGTAAAAATGTTGTACATCAGCTCTCCGTAACTTTAGAAGACTTATATAATGGTGCAACCAGAAAACTAGCTCTACAAAAGAATGTGATTTGTGACAAATGTGAAGGTATGGTCTTCTACCATCTTAACTGAAAATTGAATAAAGTTTTTCTGAAAATATAAAACGGACAAATAATACACTGCCTAAATATTGGAGAGTGAAATATAAAAAACTACCTATACTTACCATCTAGAGAATATTAGCAAATGTTTTTTTATGTGCACTTTTTTATGTGTATACTTGAGATCCAATGCATGAAATTTGTACACAGGTAGGGTCCTGAGACCTGACCTGTGATCAGGGCCAACCTGGGGGGTGGCTGGCAGGGCAATCTGGGCCCCCACTTGCACCTGCCTTGACCTGATGCCACATTCTCACCTGCTCCAGCATCCCACTGCAGTCCCACACTCATTAGGGCCCATTGGAGCAGGCAGCACCTCCACTGCTGCTGCCAGCACTGCGTGCCAAAGCCTGTTGTGTTCCAGGCTGCCCCGTGGTGATCAGCACATGTCTAATTCCCCATTGGTCGAGTCTTGCCTGTGGGGACAATTTACATATTAGTCTTTTATTATATAGAATTTTTAATGCTGTTGGAATCTAAGATACTGTAATTTTTTTTTCAACATAGTTCAAATGAGCACTTCATATTATCTCTAATATTTAATCATTCCAATGGCTTCATAATCTGTAATAGGATTTAAACAGTGACTTCTTTGCATTTAGAGAAGTTATTGGCTCTGATCCTCTAAGCCTTTTATAAATATAAGTTATTTGTTGGAAATATGGTAGCTTCTAAAGAGAATAGACTTTTATGTTCTCATAATCACAGATTATGTCCTGTGAGTTGTGATTTGGGAGCGAGTTTAAAATCACAATCACAAAATGGTCTTTTGGGAAAACAACAGTCAATGTAAGTGTTGTGTCTATTTAAACTATCTTATTAAAGCATTCATCATTGTGTCCGACACTAAGTTCAAACATAATTTCTTTTTAAACTATTTAGGCCGAGGTGGTAAGAAAGGAGCAGTAGAATGCTGTCCCAATTGCCGAGGTACTGGAATGCAAATAAGAATTCATCAGATAGGCCCTGGAATGGTTCAGCAAATTCAGTCTGTGTGCATGGAGTGCCAGGGCCATGGGGAAAGGATCAGTCCTAAAGATAGATGTAAAAGCTGCAATGGAAGGAAGATAGTTCGAGAGAAGAAGATTCTAGAAGTTCATATTGATAAAGGTGAGTTTTCAGCCACTTCTGAATTCGAGTGCAATGGCAAGATTATTTATATTTTAGAGTTGTTAAAAATGATTCTCAATAGGGTTATATGCATGGTCTTATCACCTAGAGATACCTTGACTACATAGTAAAAACGTTTCCACTCAGACATTTTTGCACATTTGTAAGGAATAGGTTAAGAATCTCCTCATTTACTATAACACTTGCATTAAATTGCTAGTTCTACCTCTTTTTAAATTGTAATAAATTTTTGCACATGTTAAGTTCCTTAGGAATTGCCTAGGATAAAGAATATATGTACTTTCAAGGTCTTGGGGGAAGGATATTTGGGTGAATTTAAATTATTTCCTTGAAATTTTTCTAAAGTAATGAAATACGTTTTTTGTTCGTTTGTTTTTGTTAAACCTTAGATTAAAAATACTGCTTTTTTAGCCCTCGCCTGTGTTCAGTTGTTAGGGCATGATCCGTACACTGAAGGGTGCCAGTTCAATTCTCAGGGTACATGCCTGGGTTGCATGCTGGATCCTGGATCCCTGATGGGCAGCGTGGCAGGAGGTGGCCAGTTGATGTTCTGCTCTCACATCGATGTTTGTCTTTCTCCCTCTCTCTGAAAAACCTTCAAAAATACAAAAAAAATAGTTCTTTTTAAAATGTTTTGGTCAACTTATGCACTAAAAGGTCACATGCTCGGGTTGTGGGCTTACACTCCAATGGGAAGTATGCAGGAGGCAGCCAACCAATGATTCTCATTATTGATGTTGCTCCCTCTCCTTCCCTCTGTGAAATCAATAGAAATAAGTTTTTTAATGTTTTTTATAGACTGTAAACCTGACCTGTGGGTTTCTGATTCTGTGACTCAGTTTTAACTATATAACTTTTTTTTAGAAATGTGTATAACTCCAGAGTAAATTACAGTTTCTAATTTTGCTATTCTGAAATATAATAGGTTTAATTTTTACCATAAATTGTTCTCTTTGGGTGATGTTACTGATTGGTTAGGAAATTTCCTGTAGTATAATCTACAAATACATTACACAAGTTAAGTTTAAAGAGATGTTGTCTAAGGCCTCGCTGAACTAAAAATATATGGGTCATAGGTACGAGGGAGGGAATCTCTCAATAAAATAAGATGGCCTTTAATAAACACTACCTTTAAAAACATTTTTTAATTTCTATTTTATTTATTGATACTTTAATTTGTTCCACTTTCTTAGCATTTATTGGTTGCTTTTTGTATATGCCCTGACCAGGGATTGAACCTTAAACTTTGGCACATTGGGACAACGCTCTAACCAACTGAGCTATCCAGCTAGGGCTAACACTGTCTATGATTATTCAAAGTGTATGCATACATTTTGGGGGGATATCCTACAATAGAGAAAAGAAAGTCTTAATTTATGTTACTTATTAGCCTTCATAGGAATAATTTAATACGGGTTCTTTTTAAGTTAAGTAATGACATTGGAATAATTAACATTTAAGGTTATAATGTTTGCCAGTCCCTGATTTGTTGCCAGCATGGGCCTTATGTAATCCTTATAACAATCCTCATGAAGTAGGTCTGTGTGTGACAGTTGATGGTTAGGAGTTAAGCAACTTGCTTCCCTGGGATAATCCAGCTGGTAGTAAGTAGCAGCTCTGAGACTTGAGGCTTAATCAGTTTGCCTCTAGAGTTTGTATTCTTCTCTGTGATATCTTTATATATATATATTGATTTTTTACAGAGAGGAAAGGAGAGGGATAGAGAGCTAGAAACATCGATGGGAGAGAAACATCGATCAGCTGCCTCCTTCACACCCCCTACTGGGGATGTGTCCGCAACCAATGTACATGCCCCTGACCAGAATCAAACTTGGGACCTTTCAGTCCGCAGGCCAACACTCTATCCATTGAGCCAAACCGGTTTCGGCTGTGATATCTTTCTTAAATTGGACTGGTCTGATCATGTAGGCATTCTTAGTCATCTTTATAAACCTTAGCACCCAAAAAAACTTGAACTTGCTTTTTTTTTTTTTTTTTTTTTTTTAAATATATTTTATTGATTTTGTACAGAGAGGAAGGGAGAGAGATAGAGAGTTTGAAACATAGATGAGAGAGTCATCGATCAGCTGCCTCTTGCACACCCCCTACTGGGGATATGCCCGCAACAAGGTACATGCCCTTGACCGGAATCGAACCCGGGACCTTTCAGTCTCCAAGCCGACGCTCTATCCATTGAGCCAAACTGGTCCTGGCTGAACTTGCTTTTTTTATGCACAAACATGCATCTGTGTTTCTTAATATATTGAGAATCTGACCTTAGTTGAATGTTAAATAAAAGTATAAAATTAATCTTCTGTTTTTAGGCATGAAAGATGGCCAGAAGATAACATTCCATGGTGAAGGAGACCAGGAACCAGGACTAGAGCCAGGAGATATTATCATTGTTTTAGATCAGAAGGACCATACTGTTTTCACTCGGTAAAAATTTTAATCAACTACTCAAACTGATATCGTGCATACTTGGAGTGTTTTTTTTAAATGAGCTTTTCATTACTCTTAGAACATACTTCTTAGAAATACCCTGGGAAAATATAGTGGGAGAGTTAGCTATATATATCTTTTCTAAAATGTTTTTAATAATGTTTTCATCTGGAAAGAGGCTAAGAACAAAAAGGATCAGATTTTAGCATTTTGTTCAAATTTAGGTAAATTGATTATCTTATCTGGAGTTTAAAGAATATACTTCAGTTAGATGATGTTTTGCATGAATATAATAAACCAGATGAGTTATGGGAAACTTCCCTAGACAAAATTGTCCCCTAAAGTTCTCGCCACTTTAAATCCTTGAGTTCACAATATGTTCAGTTGCTTTTAATTGTAAATAAGTATCTAGAACCATCTGTTTTAAAATCTGTAAATTCAGGCCTATTGCTGTGAAATATTTAATAGTATTTACAATGAACTTAAAGGGAAGCACAAAGAAAAATTGATGGTAAACAGGGAATATGTCAAATATATACCCATGGCTGACTTTAAAAGACTGGATTGGAGTTCTAATAAATCTTGTCAGGATTTACATCTGAAGGAACTGGTTTTAAGAAAATTATACAGAACATTTCCCGGTGTTCCTACAATCGAAAATGCTATTAAACTCAGGATTTTATTTTACAGAGGAAGGGAGAGGGATAGAGTCAGAAACATCGACGAGAGAGAACACCGATCAGCTGCCTCCTGGTACAATCAAGGTACATGCCCTTGAACCTGGGACCTTTCAGTCCACAGGCCAACGCTTTATCCAGTGAGCCAAATCAGTTAGGGCTAAACTCAGGATTTTAATGCCATCATTTCAGGTTTTCTGGAGAATATCCTGTTATTAATATGGATTGGAAAAGCAAAAAAATCTAAACACCTAGAGAGGAAATGGGTTGTTATTAAATATAAAAGATTATGTTCATAATGTGCCAAGCACTGTGTTAATTTATGTACATCAAATTTTATAGAGCCTATAACCCAGGGTCCAGCTGAGGTCTGTTCATCTTATAATCTCCCTAATATATGTTTGCCTTTTTTTTTTTTTTTTTTTTTTTTTTACCTTACTAGAATTTTTCTTCTTTATGTGAGCAACTAAATTTACAATTAGGTAATGGGACAATTCAGGGATGGTAAATGATGGAGACTACCTAGAGTATGGGTAAGGATTCTGAAGCTTTGTCCAGGAAATGGGGCCTGTCCATATATTTGCTGCTCCTGGTTCTCAGCTGTTTTTAAAATGGAGAAGAAAGGACACCTTTGTAAAAGATACATTGCTGTTATTAAGAAAACAGTTGCCTGCTGTAGTACTTAAAATAATTGGTGGCCGAAAGCAGTTTGGCTCAGTATATAGAGCATCGGCCTGCGGACTGAAAGGTCCCAGGTTCGATTCCGGTCAAGGGCATGTACCTTGGTTACTGGCACATCCCGGGAGGGGGGGGGGGGGCCAAGAGGCAGCTGTTCAATGTTTCTCGTCTACGTTTCTAACTCTCTATTCCTCTCAATTCTTCTCTGTGTAAAATCAATGGAATATATTTTAAAAAATAAATTTAAAATAATTGGTGATTTGAAAGATCTAAGTATGTGCTAAATTTATATTAATACAGACGAGGAGAAGACCTTTTCATGTGTATGGACATACAGTTGGTTGAAGCATTGTGTGGCTTCCAAAAGCCAATACCTACTCTAGACAACCGAACTATAGTCATCACCTCTCATCCAGGTAAAGTACTGATAGATGAGCTTCTCTTTCTATTCTAATAATTTATTTTCATTGTCTGCAGATAGCTGTTTAGGCATGAGGAAATGGATATTTTACTTGCTCGGTTACATATCCCTTTCATGAGCTGAACTGAAATTGTATGATCTTGGCTCCTTTTTGGAAGCCCCAGTAAAATCCATAAATGAAAAATAAAGGGTTGCTTCTCATAACTTCACCTCCTGTCAGTGAGCTAGGACATTTTTCTCTGTTCTTTGTTTTCTCTATTTCATGAAAATGTGGCTGTATTAAAGAACCTACCTTCAATGTTTTTAGGTCAAATTGTCAAGCATGGAGATATTAAGTGTGTATTAAATGAAGGCATGCCAATTTATCGTAGACCTTATGAGAAGGGTCGCCTAATCATCGAATTTAAGGTAAGCTATGAAGTACTTTAGGAATATTTGAGTGATTACTTACTAAAATCTGATAACAGTTACATTTTCTGAATATCAAGAAACATCAAATTTCTATTCTTATCCAGAAAGAAATACATTTATCTAATACTTCTGTCAAGTTGGGATTGGGTTTGTTTACATCATTTGGCTACTTAAAAAATTGGTGGAGGAAGAGGTTACAAGGCTATAACTGAGATCTTAAAGTTCAACAGAAGGCCTTAAAATAACGATTGTGGATTTTTAGCAAAATACAGTGGTTGGTTTGTGAATGGGGTGGTTCATGAAGTGTGTTTTAGGAAGGATTCTCATGTATAATGTATTTGCTGAATAAAACAATGGTGGCTACAGTGCAATTTTACTAGGATCATTATTTTTTAAAAAGACCTTATGCTATCACTTCAGTGCATTGGATGCTATGCCTTTTAGAGCATGTATTTCTAACCTGGGATTGGAAATTTCACTGAAAAATAATGTGGTTACATGTTTTCCTGAGGAAAATGGGTTACTAATTCAAGGAACTAACGAAGTAAATCAAACTTATAGAAGTTCCATTTTTTATAGGTAAACTTTCCTGAGAATGGCTTTCTCTCTCCTGATAAACTCTCTTTGCTGGAAAAACTCCTACCTGAAAGGAAGGAAGTAGAAGAGACTGATGAAATGGACCAGGTAGAACTGGTAGACTTTGATCCAAATCAAGAAAGACGGCGCCATTATAATGGAGAAGCATATGAGGATGATGAACATCAACCTAGGGGTGGTGTTCAGTGTCAGACCTCTTAATGGGGCCAGTGAATAACACTCACTGCTGGCATTTTATATACAGTAGTGAATGAGTGAAGGACTGTAACCATAATATGCTCACTACTTGCTATTGTTTTTGTTTTAATATTCAAGTATGGTAGTGTTTTAAAAGTTAAATGAAGAATAAACTCAAATATAAAAGCTCTGACTTTGCCCTGTATGTATGATGACTTAAGTGTGCAAGATAAGTTTTAACATCTGTAAAAAAATTCCCCTAGCATTTGCTAGGCCATACTTTGTAATTAATTTTGGCTATGTATATGGAATAGCTTAGACTGGAATGCTAGACATATGTATTGACTTTGGTGTGTGACCCTTAATTGTTAAGCTACGAAGTTAAAATTCTGTATTTAACTGGCCGTCAGACAAAGAACTTAATTTGTAGAGAAGTGTTAGTTTGTATAGTTGTATTAAGTGGGATTCATTGTGATGCCTCTGCATTTATTCTATTGCCTCAACTGTTACTTGAAGGTGGCATGCCATATAATTTAACCTGTGGTATCAATGATAGAAATGATACCTTTCCAAAGAAGGGGTTTATCATAATCTGCTTCTTGAGGGCTTGCACTTGTAGAATTGCATTCCCTTCTGTGGTGCCATCTTTTTTATTATTATTATATATAACTATATATCAATCCTTGGTTACATTTTTTCCCCCCCTTCTCTTTGGACCATAAGCCTTAGAGTAGTGACTTCTGGAGTAGGCTAACTTAAAAATTGAGTGATGAAACCTTTACATGGAGAAGTAATTTGCATGTAAGAGATAGGAAGATGTGTTTTAGGTATGTTACAGGCTTACTTTAAACCATTTAACTTAAGCTCCAAAGTAACTGTAATTTAATGTTGGTAGTATAGCAAATTATGAATAGCTTTAATTGTATGTTTAAAAGTCATATGTTCACAAGCTTAAATCTGGATATCAGAATTTAAGCAATTCTTGAAATGTATGAATGTCTCCTTAATACACTGATTACAAAGTATTTCCAGTGTGTCACTATAGGCTTTTTTATTTTCCCACAAATGAAAGCATTATCTGGTCACTAAGATAGGTAACTTTTCAATTAACTAGTTAAAATGTTAACACCCAAAATAATTAATTGTAGTTAAATATTTTAAGTGGGTGAAAAGTGAAAAGTTATTAGTCATGAGAGAAAATGCAAATCAAAACCACATTGAGCTACTACTTCACATCAACTAATAAAAAATTAATTCAAAATGAAAGCAAATGAGAATGGAGAAGTTGGAACCCTGCACATTGCTCATGGGAATATTAAATGTTGTATCTGCTATAGAAAAGTTGGGCAGCTCCTCAAAAACCCAAACATGGAATTGCCATATGACCCAGTAATTACACTCCTGGATTCAGATACTTGGCATGCCCTTTGTTGCAGCATTATTCACAATTAGTAGCCCTGCACACGAATCTGTGCACCAATAGTACACTGCTGCCCTCCTGTAGCTCTCCACAGCCCACTTGTAGCTTGATGCCCCACCCTCCTGATCCATGATCCGGTTTGTTGGGCGGTCGGTCAGTTGTTAAGCTTCATGGTGTAATGACTATTTGCATATTACATCTTTATTATATAGGAAAGCCAAAGGTAAAACAATCATCTAGCCAAAGGCTGGTGGTAAAATGATACATATGTATATAGGGGTTGGCAAAAAGTGGGTTTACAATTGGAAGTATGCAAGTTTATTTTTTAAATTTTTTTACTGATTTTTTTTTTTTTTTTTTTTTTTTGAGAAAGAAACATTGAAGAGGGAGAGCCATTGATCTCAGTTGCCTCCTGCATTCCCCCTACTGAGAATGAAGCCCACAACCCAGGCAGGAGCCCAGGCCAGAAATTGAACCAATGACTTCTTGATTCATGGGTCAATGCTCAACCATTGAACCACATTGTCAGGCAAAAGTATATTGTATTTTTCATACAGAGAACTGTAAACCTTTTATCCACCCAAAAATGATACACAAAGGGTTAGATAACTAGATGCTTCCAGCTACATGAAATATCTAGGCCAGTGGTCAGCAAACTCAGTCAACAGAGCCAAATATCAAAAGTACAACAATTGAAATTTCTTTTGAGAGCCAAATTTTTAAAACTTCTAACACCACTTCTTCAAAATAGACTCGCCCAGGCAGTGGTATTTTGTGGAAGAACCACAAGGGGCCAAAGAGCCGCATAGGGCTCGAGAACTGCAGTTTGCCAATCACAGATCTAGGCAAATTCAGAGACAGATTACCAAGGGCTGGGGGGAGGAGGAGAGAGAAATGGAGAGTAAGTGCTTAATTGTCTCTGGGGTGATGAAAAAGTTTTAAAGATGATAGTTGTATAATGCTACTGAATTCAACACTTAAAAATGGTTAAAAGTTTTATATATTTTACCACAATAATCAAAACCTTTAAGAGAAAACAGAAATCACTAAAAGAAAATAGTTATGTCTGGAAAGACAGAAGCTTACAAATCTTGCCGAAATCGGTTTGGCTCAGTGGATAGAGCATCGGCCTGCAGACTGAAAGGTCCCAGGTTTGATTCCAGTCAAGGGCATGTATGTACCTTGGTTGAGGGCACATCCCCAGTAGGGGGTGTGCAAGAGGCAGCTGATGGATGATTCATCGATGTTTCTAACTCTTCCTCTCTCTAAAAAAATCAATAAAATATATATTTTTTAAAAATCTCTTAGAACACCCAGGCAATCACAGAAATAAAATATATCCACATAAGTGCAGTCCTTGGCCCCAGCATGCTTGTTTAGAGAGCATTACATCCCATGCTGTGTAACGTCGTGAACAACCTTCCTGTATGTGAAATTAGCATGAGATCTTTTCTGCCTGTGGCACTGGTTTTCAACCTTGGCTACAAGTGGAATTAGCTGGGAAGCTTTAAAACTGATTTTAGTTCCACCTTCCAGGGAGTTTGGTGTAATTGTACAGGATGGTCAAGTACTGCCAAGTTTCAACACTACCAATATGGGGACATACTTGTATTAACCTAACCACCTAGGACAGAAATGCCACTTGGGATTAATGTGGGAGTTCAAATGGTGGCACCCTGTGCTATTGCAAGTGAGAGTTTGAGGCTCAGGACAAGGGAGCATCCAAACTTAGAAATCACTTCACAGTTTTTCTTTTGAAGTAACGTGGGAAAAGAAAGCACAGGCTCTAAAAGCAGGGGATAAAAATGCTAGTAAGCTACAGCAATACAAATACATTCAAGGGTTTCTGAAGTCTTGTACCTTTATCACTTAATTTGGTTTCAGCAACCTTGTGAGACTGACAGAATAAGAATCAACACACAGCCCTGTGTATTCTCAGATTCTGCATCCATGGATTCAATAAATTGGATTGAAAGTACTCGGGGGTGGGGGTGGGGGGGATCCCAGAGTTTCAAAAAGCAAAATTTGAATTCGCCACAAGAATAAGGTGATGTGTAGATATACCTGCTGTAGCCTATATACAAATGTCATATAGGATCTTGAGAATCTTCTGAATTTGGGTATCGCCAGAGGTCGGATCCAATTCCTTGAGGGACAGCTATACTTTATAGGTGAGGAAACTGCTCTCCAGACTCTAGTTCCCAAATTTGTGTGTGCTTGTTGAGTGCCATTGTCACAGTTTGATTCTATAGGTCTTAGGGTAGGCCTGAGATTTTGCTTTTTCAAACAAGTTAACAGGTAAGAGAGCCATTGTTCTGGCCCAAATAAAAGACTGGAATCCAGATTCTTGCAATTTAGTTCTTTCTACTCATCTCACTGCCTGTGGCCAATTAGTTTTAACAGAAAAGTGGAGAAACAAGCCATGGATTCTTTTTTCGATTCTGCCCAAACCTAGAGAAGAAACTGACAGCCGTTTGAATGAAAATAAATTGCATTTTGGAATCACCTGGTGTCAGCTCCATGAGCAACGTGTGGAACCTGTTTCTGTGCATTATGGGAATAATCAGCTGTATTCCATAAAATGGTCATGAGCATGAAATAAGGCTGCTTACATAGGAAGTACTGTTGAGTCTAACTGAGAAATAGGACAAATACCCTTTCTCTCACGGGTTTAATTTTAATGCCAGGTATTTTAAGCTTTAAGACCTAAAGAGGAATATCAGTTAACTCATTAGGCTGCAGCAGAGCACCTCCCTAGGAGCCTGACATGATGCACTTTCATAAGGGAGTAACCACTGATTATCTGTATCCATTCCTTGAGCTTCTATAACTGGCATTGTGGTAAGAGGCCAATAACATGATCTCTGCCAATTTATGTAACATGAAAAGCAGCCCAGTGGCGAAGTCGGAGGCCTCCAGCTGCTAAAACCTATGGAGTGCACCAGCAGCTGATAAGGCCTCCACTGGGGCTGCTCAGCCTGGTCCACCAGACCAGGGATCACCGCAGAGGTGCACTGAGGCACCTTGGGCATGCAGGGCATGCCCTCCTCAGCCATCTCCCCCTCTCTGTGCAAGACAGCAGGGCAGTCCAGCGGCTGCTGCAGACTTCCCTTCTCCCATCTGGGCCTCTGTCCTGGGAGCTCCTGCCTTCTGTACTTAAATGGTCGCAGGGCCTTACGAAGAAATTTTAAGTGGAGTAAGGAGAAGCAACTGTTTTCACTTCTGAATAAAAGTTAACACTGTTTTTAGGATAAATTGTAGACAGGTGCCTGAAGGTTACTGAGAAAAGCAGAAGATTCCTTTTCCTTTTCAGCTTTGTATTTACTTATTACACCAATATATTACTTAAATAGGAAAAAAAACAACAAAAAAAACACACATACTTAATGGCTCCCAATCTAGGTCTCTCCTCCTCTTTGCTTGGTCTCCCCATACACTACTTCTACTTACCAAGTTTCTTTACCTACAGTTCCTCATGGTCCTTTTATGCTCAATTCCAGGAAGCCTTTCCTAACTCAGCAGGGCTGGATTAGGTGCTCTTCTTCCGTTACCAAAAAATAAAAAAATAAAAATAAAAACCAACTCAAGGTTTTCTCTTACTCCATTATTTTAATTATTTCTTTTAACTTGCTTTTCTTCCCTATCCTATGCCAGAAACTGTTTGTTTTTTGTTTTTTTAACCATCCTCAGCACTAGGTGCTGGAACAGAAGGGTGTTTGATAGAGAGTTCCTAGAAGAAATAAGAAACATGTGCTGCCTGGATCCTTGCCCTTCATAAACCTGGACACAAAGCATGCATCTCGCAACTGCCAATTCATGAGGCTAAAGAAAAAAAAAAAAAAATCCAATTTAATGAAAGTTTCTCTAAGAACTTTAACAGAAGCCGTTTCTTTTCCACTTTAAACTTCTTTTACTGTATTTATGCAAAGGTTTCTGACTGGGATGACAGGCTATATTCACATGAATTCATGGATTTATGGCTATGTTCAAATCTCAAAATGGCAGCATATGACACGTTCCATTAATTTAAAAAAAAAAAAAAAACCCACAGGTTTTGTGGCTACAGGAAAAAAAATTTTAGTTTGGGGAATGTGACTGCAAAGGGGAATTCCTTATTGCTATTAAGAATTAATTTAGCCAATATGGAACAAACTATTTGCTAGGCATAGGATTAGGCTGTATTTCAAATTACAAAGATAAATTATAAGACTGCAAAACTTTAAAAAATATATTTATTAGTATTTTTAAAAATATATTTTATTGATTTTTTACAGAGAGGAAGGGAGAGGGATAGAGAGCTAGAAACATCGATGGGAGAGAAACATTGATCAGCTGCCTTCTGCACACCTACTGGGGATGTGCCTGCAACCAAGGTACATGCCCTTGACTGGAATCAAACCTGGGACCTTTCAGTCCGCAGGTCTACGCCCTATTCCCTGAGCCAAACCGGTTTCGGCAAGATTGCATAACTTTTAAAATTAAATCTCTCTCCAGCCCTCGCTGGTTTGGCTCAATGGATAGTGTCGGACTACGGACTGAAGGGTCCTGGGTTTGATTCCAGTCAAGGGGACATGCCCAGGTCGCTGGCTTGGTCCCTAGCGGGAGGTGTGCAGGAGGCAATTGATCAATGATTCCCTCCCATCATTGATGTTTCTCTCTCTCCCTCCATCTCACCTCCTCTCTGAATTCTAAAATATATATATTTTTAAAAATCAACTCCGTTAGTTTGTATCTAATAAATGCAAAAATTACACAGCGGCATAAAGGACTATACAAACTAATAAGATCTCACTTTCTTGAAATGGTACCCAATACAATACCTTCATATATTAACATTGATGCTCCATCTTCTAACATTTTTCTTTGAAATATAAAAGAGATACCCACATGCAAAATGCTTTCAAGGATTTTGTTGAGCTTTAACTTTTTTGCCCCACTAACTGGTAACGATGTACATAGCAAAGATGACTTTTCTGGATCTCAGGTCCTTTATTAATTTTTCTTCAGAACAATAGCACATTTGCAATGCCAAACCCTCCTTCAACAAAGGGAGGTGCCAAAACTGAATTTATATAATGGATCCTGCAACTAGTTCTATTCAAAAGATTCAGATACTTCCTGGAACTGGCCAGAACAAGTGAGAAGGCATTGCTAATGAGTGGGGGAAAAGAGAACCAAGATGGCAGCATACGTAAATGCCTGTACTCACTGTCTCCCACAACCACATCAAAATTATAACTAAAATACAGAACTGCCTGAAAGCTGGCTGAATGAAAGTCCTACAACTAAAAAAATAAAGCACTCTGAGACTGGTAGGAGGGGCAGAGTGGGCTGATCCAATAACCACGTTTGTTTTTTTAACCGGGGAAGAGATCACCTCTGCAGAGGCCACACATGAGCAAGAGGTCCCAGCTCCACACCAGACTCGCAGCCCACGGTCCTAGAGCTGGATAGAGAAGTCCCCAGAACTATGGACTGTGACTGAGTGACATGGAGGCTGCTGGAATTCCTGGTGTTCCTCTTAAAGGGTCTGTGCACAAACTTACAGTCCTGCTTCTTCCAAGCTCCAGTCCTAGGGGACCCAGACACATGTGGGGAGTAACTGGAATGTCTGGCATTGGGGCAGGAACTTGGAGGCAGCTTTCTCCCAGAAGGAGGTGCTCACAGGGGTCATTGGCTAACTGGCAGCCACATCAGTCTCAATCTGCCTGGAGCACACTGTTAGCTCCACCCTGGGGATTCCCTGAGACCCCGCCCCATTCAATCTGCAGCTCCACCCAAGCTGTTTGCAGCAGCTTTTCCATATGAATGACCTCTCCTAGCTCAGGCTTCAGACTTTACTAAAATCTCTCAAACAAGGTGCAGCTTATCAATAAAAGGCCCAAGACCAGGCTCTAGCACCAGCCTGACTTGCTTCACAGTTGGGCCTCACCTCTTGCACAACAAATATGAACAATAAAATGGTAGTCACAGTTGGTCCTCAAAGCCAAGTGGCCTGGAAGTCAACTTCTCCCAGAGACACCAACAACAATCAAGGATCAACTACAAGACTGTGCACGCAGTCCTCAATGAGGCACACTTAGAGTGCCTAGCTCAGGTGACTGGAGAGGCTGAGTCTCTAGGCCCTACAGGACACCTATTACACAAGGCCCTCTACCAATTCTAGGAGACACAGCTCTAATTTTACACAAAAACAAACACAGAGAAGCAGCCAAAATGCAGAAACAAAGAAACATGTCACAAATGAAAGAAATGGAAGCAAGCAAACTACTGGATATAGAGCTCAAAACCATGGTTATAAAGTTACTCAAGGATCTTCATGAAACTTTCAAGGATCTTAGTGAGAATTTCAAAGACATGAAAAAGTCAGAAATTAAGCACACACTAACTGAAATAATTATTTACAGAGATTCAAAAGTAGGGAATTGATCTGAAATATAAGGAAGCCCACTCAGAAGAGCAAAAAGAAAAAAGAATCCAAAAATACGAAGAGTACAAAAAAATGAAGATAGTGTAAGAAACCTCTGGGACAATTTCAAGCATACCAACATTCAAATTACGAGGGTGCCAAGAGAAGAAAGAGCAAGATATTGAAAACCTATTTGAAGAAATAATGACAGGAAACTTCCCCTACCTGGTAAAGAAATAGACTTTCAAATCCAGGAAGCAGAGTCCCAAACAAGAAGAACCCAAAGAGGCCCACACCAAGACACATCATAATTAAAACGTCAAGAGTTAAAGACAGAGACCTTAAAGCAGCAAGAAAAAAGCAGTTACCTACAAGGAAGCGCCTATATTACTATCAGTTGATTCCTCAACAGAAACTTTGCAGGCCAGAAAGGAGTGGCAAAATATTCAAATGATGAATAGTAAGGGCCTACAGCCAAGATATTCTACCCAGCAAAGCTAAAATTTAGATTTGAGGGTCAGATGAAAAGCTTCACAAACAAGAAAAAGCTAAAGGAGTTTACCACCACCAAACCAGTATTATATGAAATGTTGAAGGGTATCTGTATAATAAAAGCCTAAGTGACCATTATGGCGGAACGACCAGAACACCTGGTTGCCATGATGCATACTGACCACCAGGGGGCAGGCAATGCAGGAGCTGTCCCTTAGTGGTCAGTGTGCTCCCACTGGAGAGCACAGTGGCAATGACAGGAGTCTCTCCCATTTCCACGGCGGCACTAAGGAAGGAGCAGCAAGCCAAGCAGTAAGGAGCAGGGAGCAAGTGGGCAGTAAGGAGTGGGGGGTCCCAAACTGTGAGAGGGATGTTCGACTGCCCACTCCTCTTGGGTAATGGGCCTAAACAGGCAGGTGGACATCCCCCAAGGAGTCCCGGACTGTGAGAAGGCACAGGCTGGGCTGAGGGACCCCCTTCACCTGGCCCCTTGGGGCATAGATTTCATTCACCAGGCCTCTCGTTATTTAAGAAGAGATAAAAAATATGAACAATAAAATGGCAATAAGTACATATCTATTAACAACTGAATCTAATAATCAAAATAAGTGAGAAATCTGATCAACAAAATAAACTGGTGAATAAAATAGAATCAAAGGCACGAAAGCATAGAACAAACTGATGAATCTCAAAGGGAAGAAGAGAGGGAGGGCAGGAAGAGATTAACCAAAGATGTTATTTATCTATGGACACAGACAGTACGGTGAAGGTCTGGGGTAAGCAGAAACTGGGTGGAGGGGGAATGAGGGAGAGAAGTGGGAACATTTGTAATTCCACAATAAAGACTTTAAAAAAAAAATTACTTAGAATAAAAAGAGCTATTCATTTAAAATTTTTTAAAAAAAGAATGGAAGGGTATAGGCAGTGAAATGTGATCCTATGTAACATCTAACCTTTTCACATCCAGTTTCTTCTTCTACCCAGAAGTTGACTTCCTACTGTATTTAAGATTCAGGCATAATAATGTCCATGTCCCACCCACCTCATTAGATTCTAATATGCTAACTAGATAAGCACTTTTACATTTAAAAACAAAGACTCCAGAAAGGTATAAAGTTTATTACCATCTAAAAAAAAAAAAAAGAGGACTAGTTACTGAATATGGGATAGTTCCCTATTTACAAGTTGCCTGCAAGGAGGCACATTTTAATCAGCATTGCAATAATCAAAGAATTATATGAAATAATTATGTCAATTATTTCATTCTCCAGATAAAAGATTATTGAAAACATTAAGTGATCGCCCCAATTAGAAAGACAAATGAATACCTTAAAAGTGTATAGAAAAGGGTAACTGCTAACTTAAACATAAACTTTCACAAAATTATTCTTGTGCCTAATTCAGACAAGTTAGAGAAACTGGCAAAAAAAAAAAAAAAAAAAAAAAAAAAAGCAATGTATGAATATGTCTTCATTTAAGTACATGCGCACAAGCTAGTTTAAAGAAAAAAGACTAATTAAGGTTTCCAGAGTTTTAGGAGTCCATCTTCACTGTAGGTAGCTATCAGGTTCTGATGAGGATGATGTGCAATCCCAATCACATCCTTCTCATGGACCTGGAAAAAGTAAAACGTAGGGTTAGGGTATATAATGCTATAAAAAAAAAAAAACTCTGAAGAGGCTTCCAGAGTTGGGGAAGAGAAAAAGAGTGAAGCTTTCACTTTCCACCAAAGGAATCAAGTTTAAGGCAACACACAAACCATGAACAAGCTATTACATTGTTCATATTTTTTGTACTGTTTTTCATAATGTGTAAATAACACTTTGTCCTACGACAGTGGATAAGACTAAATGTTAGCTCCACCCTGACCAGGCCTCTCAGCTAGACTCTCTCTCTCTCTCTCTCTCTCTCTCTCTCTCTCTCTCTCTCTCTCTCTCTTTCTCTCTCTCTCTCTTTTTTTTTTTTAAATATATTTTATTGATTTTTTACAGAGGAAGAGAGAGGGATAGAGAGCCAGAAACATCGATCAGCTGCCTCCTGCACACCCCCACTGGGGATGTGCCTGCAACCAAGTACATGCCCTTGACCGGAATCGAACTCAAGACCTTTGAATCCACAAGCCAACGATCTATCCACTGAGCCAAACCGGTCTCAGCACAGCTAGACACTCTCTACCTCACCTTGTTTTGCTCACATATTGGAGGCTTCCCAAGGCAGGTGTGCCAAAAGTTCACTCAAGAATGATACAAGAGATTATTCTCTAACATGGGTAGTACATATATAATTTTTCATATGTTCACCATACCATTGCTTCCTGGGCCACAGAGATTAAATTTTCCATTTTCCATGTCCCCCTTGCATTTGGGTATGACTATGTGACTGAATTCTAGCCAAAAATGAATGAGGAACAAAGTAATATAAGCCACTTCCAGATGTGGGTCTTAAAAACATCCAATAGAGCCCTCCACCTATCTTTTACTCCTGCAATCTTGGAGTCCATATACTCCAAATTGCACAGCTAAAAGATGGAGGGCTATCCAACTCATTTATATATATAAAAGCCTAAGCAACTGAATGACCAAATGATCCGTAACTATGATGCGCACTGACCGCCAGGGGGCAGGGCAGATGCTCCCACAGCCAACCTCCTGTGGTCCCTACCCTGACCCCAATTGGCCCTGATTGCTGGCCAGGCCGAGGGATCACACCCATGCACAATTTTGTGCATCGGGCCTCTAGTATTATATAATCCTATATAATAAAGATGTAATATGCTGATGGTCATTACACCGTGAAGTGTAACAACCGACTGTGTAATGACCGGATCACGGATAAGCAGGAGGATGGAGCAGCAAGCTACAAGCAGGCTGTGGAGAGCTACAGGAGGGGGCAGGGCAGCAAGTTATGGGGGGGAGGAAGAGAAGGGGTTAGAGGAAGCTACCGGAGGGCAGCAGCGAGCTACTGGCTATAAGCAGGCAGCAAAGAGCTATAGGACAGGGGCAGGGCAGCAAGCTATAAAGGGGGATGGGGGGCGGAGGAAGCTATAGGAGGGTGGGCCAGCAGGCATAGAGCTACAGAAGAGTGGGCCAGTGGGCAGAGAGCTACTGGCACACAGATTCATGAGCAGGGCTACTAGTAAATAAACTTTGTGTTTAAGCCACTGAAATTTGGGGGCTATTATTACAACAGTTATAACAATAGTAAACAGTACTTTGGTTTACTGACATTAATTACCCCTTATAATGACTTTGACAATATGAGCAGTTTAAAAACATAATCAAATCAATTTGATAGGATAACGTGTCTTTGTAAAGACAGGGACAGAACTAGCTATATCTGTCACTCTCCAATCTCCCTGAGGAATATATGGGTAATTTAGGTGGCTATCTGGACATATTCCCTTTTTATTTCTCTACTTTATGTACACCCACCCTCTCCACTTGAAGCTGAGGGCTCAATGAAAGATGACTTTTCTTAAGAGAGGAGGAAATTCCATATAATTACTTATGGACCCTTTATTTTATTTAGTGATAAAAAAAATTTTTTTAAACATATTTTATTGATTTTTCACAGAGAGGAAAAGAGAGGGAGAGAGAGTTAGAAACGTCGATGACAGAGAATCATCAATCAGCTGCCTCTTGCACACCCCCCACTGGGGATGTGCCCACAACCAAGGTACATGCCCTTGCCCAGAATCGAACCTGAGACCTTTCAGTCCGCAGGCCGACGCTCTATCCACTGAGCCAAACCGGTCCCAGCTAGTGATAAAATTTTTGTATCAGGGTTTACACTGACAGCAGTCAGAAAAAGGTTTACAGAGTTCAGAAAGAAACAAGCACTAACAAAATTTCTTTAGACGGTCTTTAAGTCAGTAATACTCACTGTCAGAGTTCTCTCCAGTTTGCCAGTGACTGTGCTAAAACAGTAGAGCACGAAGTCCTCTCCCACACAGTAAATCCATTCACCCCGGGGGGAGAGGGCGCAGCAAACAAAGTCACCACCTTCTCTCTTACCAGAGCTGAAGCTTCTGACAATCTAGATCATATCACAGCCAAGGCAAAAAACAAAACATCTGTATTAGCAGCAGTTTATTTTATTATTATTATTTTTATTGTTTCTAAGTCAATATATCACTGTTTCTCAATACTTTATGGAATCAGTCTCCCCATTCTAACAATGAGATACTCTTCCCATGCAGGCTGGAACTGTCTCTAAGACTTTGTTTGCTGTATTTTATATACCATTTAAAATCATCACAAATAAAGCTGAAACAAAAAGCAAAGGTTATAAATGTTACATACCGTATGATTCCTTTATCCACCACTCTCAAAATGACAAAATTATAATAATGGAAAACAGACCAGTGGTTAATGTTGTTTGGGAAGGTTTGACTATAAATATGTAGTATGAGAAAGTTTCTTTGGGGGTGATGAACAGTTCTTTATATATCTATATCTATATCTATATATTATTGACTTTTTACAGAGTGGAAGGGAGATACATTGATGAGACAGAAATATTAATCAGCTGCCTCCTGCACACTCCCCACTAGGTATGTGCCCGTAACCAAGGTACATACCCTTGACCAGAATCAAACTTGGGACCCTTAAGTCCCCAGGCTGACTTTCTATCCACTGAGCCAAACCGGTCAGGGCTATGATGATGATGAATTGTTCTTTATTCTAATTATGGTGATCCTATATAATAAAAGTCCAATATGCAAATCGACCAGAGGAATGACTGGTCACTATGACACACACTGACCACCAGGGGCAGGTGCTCAATGCAAGAGCTGCCCCCTGGTGGTCAGTGCACTCCTACAGAGGGAGCATCTCTGAGCCAAAAGCCCTGAGCTGGGCTCACAGTTGGCGAGCGCAGTGGCAGTAACAGAAGCCTCTTTGGCCTTTGCAGCAGCACTAAAGATGTCCAACTGATGGCTTAGGACATCCCCAGAGGGCTCCCGGACCAGACTGTGAGAGGGTGCAGGCTGAGCTAAGGGACTCCCCCACCCCCAGTGCATGAATTTTGTGCACCGGGTGTCTAGTGGTTACATAATTATATACAGGTAATGAAATTTCATTGAACAATTAACTTCCTGCCTCAAAATGAATGAGTGTAAAAACTGGTGAAATCCAAATAAGGGTGCATTTGAGTTAACAGAATTGTAGTAATGTCAATTTCTAGGTTTTGATAATTATACTATGGTTATAAAAGCTATCATCATTGGGGAAAGAGTACACAGGAACAACTTCCTTATGAATCTAAAATTATTTTTGTTTAATAAAGTCTTTAAAATGTCAAGTAAAAAAATGAGGAAGTAGGCACCTGTAGTTACTATGCAGAGCCCAGCTGATACCACAAACCAACCATCTCAACCAAGGATCTTAAAGTACTATCGATAATTTCTATTAGTTATAGGGACTGAAGGAAAAGAGTTCCATACACAAGCCCCTGGGTCTTCTCCAGGCTCAGCAGAATCTCAAGTGCACAAGCCAACATTTCAACAGCACCACCCCATGTTCCCAGGGCTAGAGACCTCAACCTTGAAGCTTCTAATGTCCCTGGTGCTACAAAAGTGAGGTTCCTTGGGAACCATGCAAATGTGCTGATTATAAATATACATCATGAAAATATGGTTGCCCTTCTACTAGTGTTCTGAGATCATGTGGTAGCTAGATGTTCCAAACTGGTAACTGACATACTCTATCTCCCTCACTCTGACAGGAATTGTTTGTGTGTGTGTGTGTGTGTGTGTGTGTGTGTCTGTGTGTGTGTTTAAATATATTTTATTGATTTTTTACAGAGAGGAAGAGAGAGGGATAGAGAGTTAGAAACATCGATGAGAGAATCATCGATCAGCCGCCTCCTGCACATTCCCTACTGGGGATGTGCCCTCAACCAAGGTACATGCCCTTGACCGGAACCGAACCCGGGACCCTTCAGTCCGCAGGCTGATGCGCTATCCACTGAGCCAAACTGGTTTTGACCTGAAAGGAATTGTTAATCTTAAAATCTTCAATGAGATTCTGCAGAGGCAAGAGCCTCATTTACCCTAAGGATGCAAAAGAACAACATAATATACAAAAACTCTGGGGAAAGGAGGTAACTTTTGAAAGGCTGAAGAATACAGTTTAAATAAACATTTGAATAATACAATATATATGCTTTTTGGAGTGGTGAGCCCATATTTGGTTACTGGAAGGGCCAGGACCAAGACATGCTGACTTGGGAATGGTCCACAGGCACTTCCTGCACACTCACCTGCCCCTGCATGTTCATGATGACCACCGTGTTTGATCTGTTGCACACCACAAAGTGCTCTGGGTTTTTAGGAAGCAGGATCACACTGTTGACAGTGATGTCTGTCCCTGCAGTGCTGCCCAGGGATTTAAAGGTATTTGAACATTCTGTGGTCTTCATATTCCATATCTATGACAAAAATAAAAATAAAAAAATATTAAAGCCTAAGAATTTCTAGTTTTGAGGTTTTATTTAGTTTGCTTAAATATACTTTTTATTGATTTCAGAGAGAAAGGGAGAGGGAGAGAGATAGAAACATCAATGATGAGAGAAAATCACTGATCAGCTACCGTCTGCACATCCTCTACTGGTACGTGCCCTTGACTGGAATAGAACCTGGGACCCTGCGGTCCGCAGGCTGACGCTCTATCCACTTGAGCCAAACCAGCTACGGCTACAGGTTTGAGGTTTTTAAACAATGCAAATTAGATTACTAAAACAGAATAAACTGACTCAGAAAATAAAGTTCCTTTTCTGAGATGCACTCAGAAAAGGAATGGACCAAATACTTGTCTGGACACCACTCACTTAATGAGGCATAAAAGCGTCAAAGGTATAAACTATGTTGTGCCTTCAACAGAGGTTGGCACCAAACAGATGCTGAATACCATAAACAGAAGGAAATAGGTGCCCACTAATTAGTGCCCTGTTTATTTTCTTAATATTGTAATTATCCATTCCAATTTTCTCTAAAGCCCAGTTGCCTAGAAGAGAAATGAACATTTCAGATATCAGAGTTCAAAGCGTTTTAGTGTTTTCTGACTAAAAAGTCAGTGAGATGCTTTACCCTTTCTACTGTAGAATTAAAGGAAAAGACCTCAAAACAGAGAGGCCTAGTTAACCTCCCTCCCAAGGGCATTTTACATCTTGTGAGGTCTATACATAGTACAAAGAGGGAAAATCCCATGACTAAAATACTAAGACTACTGTGTATTTCCCCATCCATCCTGAGAAAAAGTAGATCTCATTCCCAAGCCAGAACAAACCTCAGAATGGCCTGTCTTTTAGGGGTTTGTGTTAAAATGTTGAGGTCTTTCCCTACAAGACTTGCAAAAGGCAATTTAAAAGCAGCTCTAGAATGTAAATGAAATGTCTCAAGATCCTCAGCAATTTACTACTTGGACTTTCCTAGAAAATGAGGCCCTCTCTTTTTTCTTTTAAATATATTTTATTGATTTTTTGCAGAGAGGAAGGAAGAGGGACAGAGGGATAGAAATGTCGATGAGAGAGAAACATGGATCAGCTGCCTCTTGCACACCCCCATCGGGGATGTGCCTGCAGCCAAGGCACATGCCCTTGACCAGAATCGAATCTGGGACCCTTCAGTCCGCAGACCGACGCTCTATCCACTGAGCTAAACCGGTCTCGGCATGAGGCCCTCTCTTAAAAATAGATCTAACATACTGAAGATCCGTTTCTTTCAGCTGAGGGCATTACATAAATATCTGAGAGAGAGCTTGGTTCTGTCTACCTCTTCTGTTCCTCTATAAATGCTACTAGGAAGACCCTAAATGTGGGGGCCAGGGGTTGGATGAGGCTGAGCAACAAAAAAGATAGCTATTTATTTGGCCACTGAGCCCTTTATGAATTTGTGGTGGGTAGACCATACCTATGATAAGATCAAATTTAAGCACTGTAAATGGGGGATGACTTACATCTAGGACTCCACACCTTTCCTCTTTTCTTATACATACTAAAGTCTGACTTTGTAGATTTGAGATTTGAGGTTCCTAGGCCAATAGGAATTACCCACAGAATATTATTACTGTCTCAGACTCACCTCAATTATAACTAAAATAGCTAGTAAAGAGGTTTACTCCACCACAATTATCACCCTTACCACCACTGAAAACTCCTTAAAGGGCAAAAATAGATACCCCACAATAATCCAGTAGCAAATACTTAACCTTTACAGTGCCATCGGAGGATGCACTAATAATATAATGTCCATCTTGTGTAAACGTTGCTTCATTAACAAAGGAAGAATGGCCACGAAATTCCTTCAGGGTCTTCCCAGATTTTAAACCATGAATTCTATCACACATTAAAGGAAACGAAAAGAACAATTAATAGCTTATATATTACGGTTAAGATCTAGTGTTGAAAGCATTTTAGATGAATTACTGAAGCTCTTATTATAATATTAAGTGAACAAACAGGGCTATACATTTACATGTCAGTATAATTTTCATTATGTTAAACAAAAATAAAACAAAAGGTTGGCACAGAAACTGGTAGAAAATATGTCAATAATACCACAGGTTTCTGTTCAGGGACAGACTTCTACGTCTTGGCTAGCTCCCAGGAATCTGTATTTGTAATATGCCCTATGCAGGTGGGTAACGACTCCATAGCAAAATTATAGCACTGTGCCAGCTGTCCTCTGCCTGGGGAAATGAGATCTCACGTACCTCACTCTATATATAATACCATCCTGGTGAAAGTGTAAGGAATCACTAGTACCTCCCTTCAGAGCTTCACCACATCAAACCCAAGTAAAGGCAGTTGGGGATTCTTACTTACCTAATTGTCTGGTCAAAAGAGGCACTAAGGATTTGACTGCTATCCTTAGAAAAGCTTAGACAGGTGACACCTTTACTGTGTGCCCTTTCAAATCTCCTTAAACACTGTCCACTCTGAATTTTCCATACCTTTATTAAAAAAAAAAAAAAAATAGTAAAAACTTGTAAATAGAATGTCCATAGAGCCAAGCAAGATGCAATGCTCACTAATGTCCTAAAACAACATTAAAAGTGCATGAATATGATATGTCTGGTTTACAAAGTATAATGATAACTGAATCCTTTGAAAGTTAAACTTCTTTCCTTATTATTAAAACAAAAATTTAGACTAAGTTCACTTAGCAGAGACTACTTCTGTATTTTACCTAGCTCAGGGCATTTTACCAGCAATTAAATACAAGCCACAGCTAATCAACTGCAGACTACCCCATTCTCTAAAAACATCCCATTCACTAAAACAAAAAAGCACACAACGACAGCAAACCAACACAAAGTACAACACATCATATTATATAAAGTGAGCAATGGTGGTACAGCGGAAAGGGTAGGAGCAGATTTGAATTGAAGTCTCAGACCTATTACTCACTAACTGATCTTAAACAAATTATTGGAACTCACTAGCAGAGTTGTTACTAGGTTAAACAAGAAAAAATAAACTGATTAGCACAAAGTTGATGCTCAATAAACAGCTGTTATCAAGCCCATATCATATGTAGGACACTCTCTCATTACAGAACTCTCTGAATGTCTGCATAAGTTTGTGCCACTTATTCATACCTTGATTTTTCCATCTTGAGCCCCAGTTGCTAACATTTCTGTATCTCTGCTAAAACACATGCAGAGAACAGCATCATCCATCATCATAAAGTTATCCTGGGCCTGGTACTTAAGATCCTAAAGGAAACAATGATAAGCAGTTATCAAAACAAAACAAAACCCAGTTATCCCAGATCTCTACAATCTCACTGAACGCAGGATAATGGCTGTACCTACTCTAAATCTCCAAAGCAAATAGTAGTGGCATGCACACAAATTCCTAACAAACGACTGATACTGCTGGGAATAAATAATTTTACACAATTCAAACATTGTAAAAAATGCCAACCTAACAGCTTCTATCTTTTGCTTACTAATCTTTTTTCTTTTAAACAAACACTTTTATTACATGAAAAAATATGGAACATTTTATGATTTTGCATGTCATCCTTGTGCAGGGGCCACGCTGATCTTCTCTGTATCATCCAATTTTAGTGTATGCGCTACTGAAGCAAGCATGCTTACTCATCTTTCCTAAGCAAAATTTCCCTACAATTTTTTTTTATTATTGACATTATTACAGATGCCCTGCTCATCTCCACCCCTCCCCTGGCCTTCACCACACTGCTGTCTGTCTCCATGGGCACACAGTTTCACATTGTACATCTTAAATAAATCTGAATTTATTTATCTTAGGGGTATAATGTGAGAAACTAATGTTTTTTTCCAAACTGTCAACGCCTTTTCCTCTATATAATACTATCTGTACTGACTAATATATTTAATTATAATCCATTTTATGGATGCTTATTTTTATCATCCATTATTGTTCAAACAGAAGTATCTCTATTTTTTTTTTTAATTATAAACTGAGATTGCTTCATGGTTTAAAAAAAAAAAAGATAAACTATAAAAAATATAAAGTAGAAAGTGAATATCACTCATTAATTCACTACCCAAGTAGAATTTAGTATTCTATGATAAAGATTACAATTTAAATCAGTGGAAAGTCAATAGCTATTTGGGGAAATGATTAAATTTTATCTACACCAACTTTATCTCACTAAAGAAATTTCAGATGGATCAAAAATTGAACATAAAATGAAACATAAAAAGATTAGAAGAAATTGTGGAAGAAAAGATGGATACATATGATGATATAAAAGATTTTAAATCTATAAACCAAAACCATAAGCAAAATCAAGACAAAAGTCAAAACTGAAAAATACTTGCAATATAGATTGCAAAGGTTGATTTCCTCAAACTTTATAAGCTCCAATAGCCTGACCAGTGTGGCTCAGTGGATTGAGTGTCAACCTATGAACCAGAAGGTCAAGGTCAGATTCTTAGTTAGGGTACATGTCTGGATTGCAGGCTCGATCCCCAATAGAGGGCATGTAAGAGGCAGCCAATGAACCATCCTCTCTTATCATTGATATTTCTATCTCCCGCTCCCTTCCTCTATAAAATTAATAAAAATATATTTTTAGAAATAAAAAGCTCCAACAAATCAGTTAAGATACAATCCAAAAGAAAACTGGACAGCTCTGGCCAGTCTGGCCCAGTTGGTTGGGCATCATCCCATGCACCAAAAGGTTGCTGATTCAATTACCAATCAGGGCATATGCTTGGGTTGCAGGTTAAATCCCTGTTAGTAGTGTACAGGAGGCAGCTGGTCAATATTTCACTCTCATATTGATGTTTCTCTCTTCCCCCCACTCCCTTTCTCTCTGTCTAAAAATCAACAAAAGGGAGGGCAATGGTAAAATATGTACACAGATTTTTAAATAAATAAATAAATATCAACAAAAATATTTTCTAAAAATAAACTTAAAAAAAAAAAAACAGGCAAAAGATATGAACAAACTTCACAGAATAGGAAATATTAGTGGTTTTTCACATATAAAAAGACGTTTTCTCACTCTAATAAGAGAAGCACATTTAGTACTATAATTAAGTTAGATTGGGAATAAAAAGTAACTGCTTACACATACATACCTAGAATATTCCAGGAAGGTTACACAAGAAACTGGTAACCTGGCTGGACCAAGGAAAGGAACTGACCAGCTGAGGGACAAGGGTGGTAGCATGACCTTTTACTGAACAAATATTCTGTTTCATAAAATATTTTATCAGATGCACATATCACCCATTCAAAAAATGAGTTTAAAGCATATAAATAGCCCAGCCAGCATTGCTCAGTATGGAGCATCAACCTATGAAACAGGAGGTCATGGTTTGATTCCTGGTCAGGACACATGTCTGGATTGCTGACCCGATCCCCAATATGGGGTGTGCAGAAGGCAGAAGGCAGCCAATCAATGACTCATCATTGATATCTCTCCCCCCCCTAAACCTCTCTCTCCAGCTCTAAAATAAAAATATATTTTAAAAAATACAGTGTATAAATAAACAAATAGTTTAAAAATAACAATAGTAATTTCTTTCACTAGAAAAGTTAATATATTTTAAATACTTTACCTTCCTGATTTTTCCAGTTGTGAAGTTCCATACTTCAATGAATCCATCAACAGACCCAGTGACCAAATACTGACCATCTGGAGAAAATCGAGCACACTCCACATGTGATTTCTGACCAAACTGTTTCAAATAAAACAATGAAACAGATACATTTTTATCTAGTGACCTTAAAATAATTCCCATTTTAACCTTTTGGGAAATCCTGCCCTAGCATAAAGTCATAGCTAGCTTATTCTAATGGAGCACTGGAGAGACATTTCTGTACCTGGACACCAGAAGGTTGTGGATATATTTTCTCTGACCAGTTTTATGTCTAGGCTGTTAGATGAAGCTCATTTTTTAATGTGAAGTTGACATTTTCAAAGAAAAGTAAGATATATATATTTTATAATGGAACTTAGAACAAATAACCCTATAACTCAAACAATAAGCTTTTACCAGAGTCAGCCACAATTAGCATGACTTTCACACTCAACTTAATATGGCATATGTTCCTGTTGTGCATCTAAGGAAAAGTCATTTTTATAAAATAAATGTCAGCTTTCATGTACTGTTTTGTAAATGAATTTTCTATCACTGTTTCTTTATATGACCTTCACTTTATCAGGTGATAATGTGGAGGTGACTAACTCTAGGAGAACTAATTAAATCTAATAGACTTTTATCTGAGCAATGTATCCTGAGCACTTATCAGCAATCATGCTCCTAATAACAGATGAGCACTTACAAAACATTAAACAGATAATAACAGAGAAAAGCTTTTATGAATTTCAATTTAAATGCCAAAAAACAGAAAGTGTTTGTAACAAAAATCTTAGCCCATCAGCATAATAAGATTTCTCTTTGTCCCAAGGCTTCAGCCAGGGTAAAAGTACTGCTCGAAAACATCTTTGAATGCAAGTCAAAACATATAACCCAGAAAAGACTAATTCAATGCACTAAGTTGAAGTCAAAAGATTTGAGAAACATGAATTATTTTTTAAAATCCATAAATTCAATGAGAACAAAACCCAAAAACTATAATATAAAAAAGATGCTGAAATAGTAATTCTGGAAACTGCTGCAATTACTTGATTGTGCTTTTTCTCAGATTAGAAGAAAATAAACAAGAACCAGCCTTAAGATGATAAGTTATTTTCCCCAAATACTACACAAGCCCACTTTACAATCCATGTCTGATACTTTGGCTGACATGGAGCAGACAAAAACACAAATGTTGCACAAGACAAATACATTAAAAGTTCATAGCTAGTCCCAGGTTTAACCAAAGAGGTAATCATTCTTCCAATCTTTGGGCTTGGAGAAAGCGCAAAGGCAGACGACGGGCCAAATGTCAAATATATGTCCACTCAGTTATAAAACTGAGGTGTGCCACTGCCAGGCTACAGGACCCCATGGTCACTAACAGCAACCCTGAATGTTATCAGAACTGGAGAATGAATTCTGCTATCTAACTCAAGTGCCTAGCACAGGGCCTGACTGAGGAAGCACATGCTGAGTCCTCAACAGATGATTACCAACCGGCCGAGTGTCAAAGGACCCTACCTTAATATGCCTGCTCAGCTGTGTAGGAAACTTCTCTTCTTCCACATCTTTGACAGCTGCTTTGCCTCGGAACAAATCTATGGTCATGCCAGGAGGAAGCAACCCCTGGTGCTGCTGCCACTTCAGCGCCTATGAAAAGAGAAATGTATAATAATCCACTTGGGTGCTTTTAAGATCTGTTCCTGATTGCTCAAAGCCAAGTGTGAAAGAATGAGGTTCACAGGAAACTGAACCATCCAGACCCAACCATCTAAACACAGCATAATCTACGCTGCTCTGTGTGTCCCAGGAACCCAGGCTGAGCTCAGGGTGGAGGGAACTCTAAGAGCCAACAGGTTCATCTTTCCTTATAAGTGTGACTCTTTATTATAAATAAAATTTGGAAAACAAAAATCTCCCATAGTTCTAACATCTGAACACAGCCACTGTTACATTTTTCATATTACCTTCTAGTATTCCTCTTTACCCATGTATTTAATTAATGTAGTTGTAACTATACTATAGGTAAAGTTTTATATTCTTCATTTTCACCTAACATCAGATCATGATATGCCATAATTATCATTTCAATGGTTATAAAATATATCCTGATTGTTTAACAGTTTATTTAACTAGTATATTAATGAACATTTACACATTTCCAATTTTTTACTCATCTAAAAAATGCTGCAATGAACATCTTTGAACATAAGGCTTTTTCTATTTGGGGGTTACTTCCACCTTAAAGTAGATTCCCAGAATATAAATTATTGAATCCAAAAAAGAACGAGAATGGTTAAGCCTCCCAATATACAATGACAAACTATTTTCCCAAAAAGTCACAACTTCAACAGCATTCACAACTATATTATGAATGAAAAAATCATGGACATAAGAGACAGATGGCCCTAGGCTAGATCATTTGCCCAATGTTATTCTGATTCCCAATTTCATGCACTAAAAGAAGTAAAAGCCTAATTCTTTTTTTTTTTTAATCAATCTTTATTGTTCATATTATTACAAAGGTTCCTCATTTCTTGCCCCCTCCACCAGGTTCCCACCCCACCCTCGGCCCCCTTCCCCTCCCCCACTGTCCTCATCCATAGGTGCACAGTTTATGTTCAGTCTCTTCCTCCCTCCCTTTCCCCGATAGTAGATCCCTTTTCAGACAGTAAATCAGTTACTTAGCATTTTCTCATATCAATAATACCTCCACATGTCCAAAGATACACTTCACACAAAAGACATTTCCAAATAGGTCAACCAACCTCATCCAGGCCCCGAACAAGGCACTCACAGATCAACATCCCAGCGCTATACTAACTAAACATATCCAGATCTAAGCCTTCATCACTTGATTCAGCACACCCTCAAGTTTCCGCAAAAGTTTCCAGCCATGTCTGAGAGGCAGCATTGGGGCGGGGGCAGGCGAGGAGCAAGCTGTTCCGGGCCTGGCCTCTGTTGCTCTGGTCCGTTCCACAACCAGCTGCTCTGGGTCTGGCCACTGCCGCTCCCAACCTGGTTGCTCCGGGCTTGGCTGCTGCTGCTCCAGGCCTGGCCGCACCCGACCCGGCTGCTCTGGGCCCAGCTGCTCCGGGCCCGGCCACTCCGGGCCTGGCCGCTCCCAGCCTGGCAGCTGCTGCTCCAGGCCCGGCCACACCCGACCCGGCAGCTCCGGGCCTGGCCGCTCCCAGCCTGGCAGCTGCTGCTCCAGGCCTGTAAAAGCCTAATTCTTAAGAGTTGCTAAAAGGATACCACTAAATAATATATTAATATGTCAAATCTATATGACAGGCACAATATTTATTCCTTTTTCCCTTAGTTATATCAAGAAAACTTACCCTGGCCAGTTTTGCTCAGTGGTTTTTAGAGCAACAGCCTGTAGACCAAAAATTCAATTCCCAGTCAAGGGCATGTGTACCTCGGTTGCAGTTTGGTCCCTGGCCACGCTCAGGGCACGTGTGGGAGACAACAGGTTAATGTCTGTCTGTCTCTCTCTCTCCTCATCCCTTTCTCCCTCCCTTCCATTCTCTCTTAAAAATCAATGGAAAAATATCCTTGGGTGAGGATTTAAAAAAAAGAAAACTCAACATGGATATCATTTTAAAATTCTGCTAATTTAGCCGAAACCGGTTTGGCTCAGTGGATAGAGCGTCGGCCTGCGGAATGAAAGGTCCCAGGTTCGATTCCGGACAAGGGCATGTACATTGGTTATGGGTACATCCCCAGCAGGGGGTGTGCAGGAGGCAGCTGGTAGATGTTTCTCTCTCATCGACATTTCTAGCTCTCTATCCCTCTTCCTTCCTCTCTATGGAAAATCAATAAAATATATTAAAAAATAAAATAAAATTCTGCTAATTTAATGAATGGAAAGTTATACCTTGCTTTAGTCAGTTCTCTGATTAATCATTTGAGCTTTTAATGTGATCAAGTTGTTATTTATGTTTGCCAAAAATAATTTTTTTCTCCAATCTGCCTTTTAAAAAATATATATTACTGATTTCAGAGAGAAAGGGAGAGGGAGAGAGAGATAGAAACATCAATGATGAGACAATCATTGATCAGCTGCCTCCTGCACGCCCCCTACCGGGGATTGAGCATGAAACCCTGGCACATGCCCTTGAATGAAATCGAACCTAGGACCCTTCAGTCCACAGGCTGATTCTCTACCCGCTGGGCCAAACCAGCTAGAGCTGCCCCCCCCCCTTTTTATTACAGCCTTATAGCTTTCTTTTTATCTTATGTTGAACTCTTAAGTGACTATATTTATTGACCTTTACCTGGATGTTTACTCCCTAATCATAGGAAGTCCTTTCCTAGTAGGAGGTTTAATACATTATATTATCTACTAGTTTTTGTTTTCTTAAAATATATAACTTTCAAACTATCTGAAATTATGCTGTATAAAATATGAGTAAAAGCTCTGAGCTGACCATTCCCCCCCATTCTAAAGCAAGCACCCCAAACCATAAGGTGAATAATTCTTCTCTATTCTTAGATTTGATGACATTCCCATTATCAACTACTGAATTCTTATAATAGGATCAATCTCTTGCACTGTTGTTACAATGGCTGCCAACACATATTCTGTGTCAAGTACCAAAATTATTCTACAATCAAGAGTGCCCTTAAGTTATCCTAGATGAAATGTTAAATTCTATGGTCACCCTAATTCTGACTCGAGCTTATGTTCTTCTTCTTCTTTTTTTAATATATATATTTTTATTGATTTCAGAGAGGAAGGGAAGGGAATGAAAGATAGAAACATCAATGAGAGAGAATCATTGATCGGCTACCTGCATGCCCCACACTGGGGATCAAGCCTGAAACCTGGGCATGTGTCCTGATCGGGATTTGAAACATGACCTCCTTGTTCATAGGTCAACACTCAATCACTGGGCCATACCAGCTGGGCATAGAGCTTATGCTCTTAACCACTCATCTATAATATGAGGATGGCATGGCACAGCTGTTAGTACAAACAGCTACACAGATAGTTATCAATACATAGGATGCCTGATTCCTTTAGCTTGTACATGTAGTTTATATAAAGGGTAATTTCAGTTCCACAAACTTTAATTACCTGCCCCAACAATGCCATGAGACGAGATGGAGGCACCACACTGACTTCCCCAGCTAAGGCCTGAGCAATTGCTGCTCTTCTCTTCTCTTTGCTACTTCCATCTGGGTATGCCTGAAAAAGGAAAGGGGGTAGCATCATTTCCAAGAAATGGTTACAAAATATGACTGTACTTATTAAAAAAAAAAATAAAAAAGACACGACACAACAATCATCAAGCAGAAACACTCAAAATGGAAGCCATGAAAAGAAATTACCCAGTTAAACAGGGGGTTAATTAAATTAATTTGTTTTTAAAAATGACTTCCCCATTCTGTTCACTTGCAGTTCAAAAGTATGAACTGGAAGAAAACTGAGGTCAGACAATCCACACTGTTATTTCTCAAAGGAGTCCAAGAAAACTATGTCAAAGCCAGGGTTGTTTTCCAGTTTTTGAAAAATCTGCACAGCCAAGGATTCTTTTATATACTTTGGTAATTTTTTTGTCAATGATCCCAGCCCAGAAATTCTTCACCACCTCTAACATTAATCCTGTCTTGGTAACCCTTAATTCTCATGGTTTCTAACTTTCCATTAGCCAATATCTATTTTTCTTCATCCCATTTAGACTAGTAAAGGCTGGTTGAGAAAGAACGAAAGCATACACAAAAAAAGGTTTGGGGAAATAAAAGACCATCAGTCACCATGCGCTACCAGTAAACATAATTGGCTGATAAGTGAAAGCATGAGTTTCCAAGAACTGAAAGAAAGTGCAATTGTCAGGGGCAAGGGACACAAATGCAGAGAGAATATACCAGCAGTCAGGAAGCCCTTCAGGGCCAGACAAGTCCTTGGGGCTAATGAGGAAATGATATCAGAATAAACTTTCTCCTTCTTGACTGATACAAAGCCTCTAAAATGTGGTATGTGAAGAAGGGAAACCCTTCAATACTCAGAAATCTGAACAAGATCAACCCCTTTAATATATGCAAATGGAAAAGTATTATTGAAAATTAAAATCAAAATCCCCAAAACGCCCCAATTAAATGGTTTCAAACGATTACATTATTGCAGGTTTGCAAAAATTAACGATAATTTTTTTTGTTATCACAGTCATACCTCTCGAGGATCAAAATAAGACCTGGCCAAGAGGTTCTCCAGATGAATATACCGCTCTGGCTGCGTTTGTTTTAACATGATCATAGGGTCAGTCTGTCTCAGCAGAGACCTGGCAGCCCCCAATTCACGAAGTTCTATCAATTCCAGAACAACCTGGACAAATGAAAGAAAATGGCTGTTTCAATGCATTCTCATAATACTTCATTTTCAGTACAATTTCTTATGCAGAAATGGCCTATCAAAATGATTTCCTATATTGGGAAATACCCTTTTTCCTTTTCATGTGGACAACGGAGGTAATTGTAAGTACCCTATTTCCCCGAAAATAAGACAGTGTCTTATATTAATTTTTGCTCCCAAAGTTGCGCTAGGTCTTATTTTCAGGGGATGTCTTATTTTTCCATGCGCTAGGTTTTATTTTCGGAAAAACACGGTAGTAACTTCAATCTTTCGCTTCCACCCTCCATTTTTATCTACCAATCTCCTCTCCTCTCAGGCTACATATGCTAAAGAAAACTAAAGATGGGAATATCTCCATGGGCTTCAGAGAAACCTTTCTTCAGGTACCAAAATTTTCTTTGGGGAATTACTGAACTTATGTAGATTGTAAAGAAACAAATCAACTACCCTATTTTTACAAACAAAGCTACATTCCTATGTCCATAAACTCCACTCTGTTCTGTTGTAGAATATATAATTTGTATGATTTTTATCCTGGATTCCTGGCACGGAGCTTCTAAAAACCCTCAGAGTTTGCTAGTGAGAGGAGTATCTTTGATATTAAGGAGCCCCCTGCATCACACCTAAGTTTGTGCTAATAAGATAGCTCAGGATGAGGGCTGGTTACCATGTGACTGTAGAGTTGAGCCTTTGAGCCAGCCCAATCTCAAGGGAGCTGAAGACTGAATGAAACCCCAATAAAAACCCCAATGGAGCTTCCTGGTTGGTAACACATTAATATGCCAGGTGAGAAAGAAACTGAATCCATGGGGAGACAACATCGGAAGCTCTGTGTTCAGGACCCTCCCAGACCTCACCCTATATGTCACTTCTTTTGGCTGTTTCCAATCTGCATCCTTGATAATAAAACTGCAATAATAAATATAGGGCTTTCCAACTCATTCTAGTGAATTATCAATTGAGGGTGTCATGGGAATCCCCAAATTTATAGCGTTAGTCAGGACTGTGGGTGGCATGAGACCCTAAAGTACAACTGGTGTCTGAAGAAAGAGCAATCGTATAGAGAACTGAGCCCTTAACTTATGGGGTCTGTGCTAACTTTGGGTGGTTAGTGCAGTACACTAGTTGGTTTCAGAATGGTTGGTGTCGGGACATTTAATGATCACTTAAGAAATACTTTCAATTTGGGAAATTCTTAGCTTTTCCAAGAGAGACAAAAAGTACAAAGTAGCACTTGAACCTTGACAGTATACGTTTTAAGGACTGTTCCCTATAGTGCTTGAAGGAATGCTCACTAATGCTTCTCAGTCAGGGGTCACACAATAAACCAACCCACGGGAATCAGCATCACGTCCACTCTTACCTGTTCATAGAGGTCAATGAGGGTTTTGTCTGGCAATTTCAGAGACTGTATAGCCTGTAAAACAGTGTCCCAGTGGCCGCTATTAATGTCAGCCACAAAACTCTCAATGCTGTCCACGGTATTCAGAGACACAGTAGTCTCTTCCTGTAAAGTGGCTAATGCCCGATGTAAACTGTTCTCCTTCAGGTACTGCATGATAAGTCGGATCACACTGAAAAAAGAAAGCAAGTCATCCAGTTCAGGGATCCTAGTCACCAGAGAGGCCGCAAAATAAAAGCCCACCCCAGCTTCTTTCTCCTACTCAACCATCGTCCTTTCACTACCCACTTTTCATTTCTTTATCATATGAGAAAAGCATGTCCAAAATCAGAATCTAAGTTACAGGGGACTCTGGGGCTCATCCCGCCCTCCATCTCAGAAATAGGAGAACTGAGGTTCAGGGGGGAAATGATTTGCCTAATGTCTCATAGTCAGCTAGAAAGAAAGTTGGTACAAAGTAACTCTCTAACTTCCAAGGCCAGAGATCTTTTTATTATGCCAAGATTCTTATTAATTTATAAATTACATTGTTGCACACTTTAGTGAAATATTTAAACTTAGCCTAGTCATTAACACAAGTACTCTAAATTCTTATTAGGATTATTTGGTCCATTTTTAAAATGACAACCATAACACATGAATTGAGATTTTCTTAAGAATTTGTTGAACACAAACAAAGTGAACTATACTGTATATAAAAATAAAGCCAATCCATGTGTCCTCATTTGCAAAAATAACACTACCTACTGGCTCTATTAACAAATTTTCAGGACAAGTGGGAAAAAAAAAACACATTATAAACTCAGTTTCCAAGGAAAAGAGGAATCAGGTAATTGCCAAATATTGAAATAAGCATCCATTTTCAACATGTGACAGAAAACTTACAAATGTTTTAGTTAAATGTGTTTATAGTTAAAACTTCTTGATCTGGAGTTAAAGTGTCTAGTGAAGAATCTGTAAAAGTTCACTGTGTGATGCTGTGATACACTGTTTTCCTTCTCTTTCCTTATACATGGTCGACACTGTATTTCTACTGAAAGCACTGTATCATGGGTGAAATTGGTGAAGGGGTTTCAGATCAGAATTTAGTTAATTCTCTCTGGGGAGAAATAATAAACACAAAATAATAGCCAATGTTTATTATGCATTTACAGCAAGCATGTCAAACTCTAGGCCCATGGGCTGCGGCAGACCACAACAAATACTTGTGCAGCCAAGCCAATGTAACAGTATGTAAGAAACAGGAGAGCGAAACAGTGACAATACTGGGTTAAGAGCTGTGAAGGGGAAAGCAAAGGAGCCACGCAATCCCAGAGGAAACGAATCACACTTGTCCTAACGGGAGCAGGAAGAGCAGCCCCTTGTGCAGACCATCAGACGGGAGCCCGGAGAGGAAGGGTAATCAGATCAAGTCCCGGAGCGCCAGGAATCGGCGGCGATGGCTACAACCCGATCGGGTCTTCGAGGAATATCCTTCCCCGGGCCCCGCGCCTCCTCCCCCTGGGCTTTGAGCATCTGGTCCGCTACGTCCTTGTGCACCCGCCTCCGAGGTAGCGATGCAGGAAACTTCTTTGTGGGCAAGGAAATGCCCCTCCACCCCCTGGCCTCGCGGACGCCTCTCCTGACCACCTCACCCCTCCGCTCTCGGCCCCGCCGCCTCCCCAACGCCCCGCACCGCAGGACTCACTCCGAGGACTCGATTTCGATGGACATGGCGTTAAATTTCTGGGCGCGGAACCCAGTCTACTCTCAGGCCTAGCAGCGCGACACACCAACGACACCTCCGGCGGCCGTCCGACGTCACTTCCGCTGACGTCAGACGCCGGCCCTGGAGGCGGCACGCACGGGAAAGGGGCGTGGCGTGCGTGAGGGGCGGAGCACCCAGAGGCTGTCAAAAGCCGGGGTACGCGCAGCGCACCGGCTCCGGAGGGTTCTCGTTTCTTTTCTAGAGGAACTCTCTGCTTAGAAACACTGGCTTGGACATTTTGATTTTATTGGATGCGATTGGTTGATTAGATTTAAAGTTAGGGTTGGATTTACAATGCTGGGAGGTTAATGCATTCGAAACCAATGGAACACTAGCCAACGTTTGTAGGTAGAGTTCACTGGCAAGGAGCGAATGGATGAATAAATGATGAGTTTGAATCCAAAACACAGTTTACTCAGCCTGATAATGGAAAGTTTGGAACCCAGTTAGGATTTTCATACCCGCTTGTGGGAAGAATTAAATTATTTATAGCATTTCTAACTAAGTAGTTGGAAAGGGGGTCATTTCAGTGGCACGGTTGCTGGAAAAAAACAGTGAAACCAATTGCAAATGTGTTCAGCTGAGACTCCTTTTAATAGACTTTACGCATTATTAAATTAGTAGAGACAAATGGATGCAGGGATATCAATGGATTTCATAAAGAAAGGCTAGTTTTAAAATACTTTATTGCCGCCCTGGCTGGCTTGGCTCAGTGGATAGAGCGTCAGCCTGCAGACTGAAGGGTCCTGGGTTCGATTTTGGCCAAGGGCACATGTCTGGGTTGTGGACACGATCCCCAATGGGGGGCGTGCAGGAGGCGGCCAATTGATGATTCTCTCTTCATGGATGTCTCTATCTCTTTTTCTCTCTTCCTCTCTGAAATCAATAAAGAAATATATTTTAAAAAAATAAAATATTCTATTGCCAATTTATATAAATTTAAAAATTTTGCAGCACAATGGTAAGAAATCTGTGTGAAGATTACCTATTGAAATGATTTACTTGGAGATTCCTATTGGCTTTCAGTCGTATCTGATACTGTCCCAAAACTTAGCCACAGAACTTCCCTGTAGCCTCTTAAATACTGCTTATTTTTTTCCAAATCTTTCTCTATTTTCCATCAACTCTTGAAGGACCAGATTTCCAAGATCTTAAAGTTCTGGTACTCTGCGTGTTTGCTCCAACATGTGGTCAGATAAATTAGATGAGTGTATGACTTCTAAGATATTCTCTTACTATCCCAACCTACAACACAGCATAGAAAATTATAACATCTTCCTTAAAAAGAAGAACCAGTTAATTGTCAATAGTACATATCTTCATTTTCTCTATCTAGTACTTGTCATGTTATTCTTACTTTAATTAAGGTTACTTCCCTAATTTGCTTATACAAATGTCTTCTCTGTAATTACTTAACACCAGGTTTTATTCTAGTGTCCACCACACTTCTGCTTTCATTTGAATAGAATGGCTTTGCTTCTTATGACTCCTATTAAGTCCAAATTTATTCATTAAACAAACTGTAGATGCAAGCATCTCATTGCTTCATTATGTCTTTAATAGTAAAACCCAAGGATTTAAATATTGAAATACATATTACTATATTTTATAACAAATGTAATTATTTTTATATGTTAAGCTTTATATTGATTTTTTCATATCTGTGTAAGTAGATTGTATTATCCATGAATTTCAGGACACCAATGGAAATATTATAAAATACTTTGAGGGCCTTAAACAGATTAATACTTGAGAACACCTCCCTCCCCACCCGCTGGCTTTGTCAGGAAGGATGTCCAGAAGATATCCAGTCTAATTAGCATATTACCCTTTTGTTATTATAGATTACGTCACCTGGAGCCTAGATGGGCTGAGCCCCAAAATGACATCAGCCAGGAAATCTTAGCTTTTACAAGAGCAATGATGGACCTAGAGAGTATTATGCTAAGTAAAATAAGCCAGATAGAAAGACAAGTACCATATGATTTCACTTATATGTGTAATTTAATGAACAAAATAAGCTAACAAACAAAACAGAAACAGACTCATAGATACAGAGCACAGACTGACAGCTATTAGAAGGAAAGGGGTTTGGAGGGCTGGGTGAAAAGGTAAAGGGATTAAGCAAAGGAAGAAACCCTCATAGACACAGACAGGAGCGTGGTGATATCATAGGGAAGCGGGGGGGGGGGGGGGGGGGGGCGGCGGGCGTATATAGAAGAGGATATTGGGGGATGATTGGTGACAGAAGGAGACTTGACTTTGGCTGGTGAACCACACAATATACAGATGATGTATTATAGAAGTGTATACCTGAAACCTATGTAAGTTTATTAACCAATGCCACCCAAATACATTCAATAATTTAAATTCAATAATAACTGATGTTGCTAAGTGTTAGAATGTCAGCCGACGCACCAAAAGGTTGTGGGTTTGAACACCAGCTGGCCCCAATCAGGGCCTATGCAGGAGGCAACTAATTGCTATGACTCACACATCGGTCTTTCTCTCTCTGTCTCCCCCACTCCCTCTCCCTCCCTCCCTCCATTCCTTCCACTCTTTCTAAAAGTCGATGAAAAAAATATCCTCAGGTGAAAATTAAAAAATAATAAATTTTTTAAAAAGAAAAAAAGCGGTGGGGGGTGACAGGGTATAAACTGTCGTTTCTCTGCAGTGCTTGCTGCTTGAGACAGTCCCTGGCCAAGCAGCCTGTTTCAAGTCAGAACTTATTTGCTGCTGTGTCTGTGGCTTATGCATTACGACAGTCAAGCTATCATTCTTGAGAAATGAAACTTTATCATTTCAGTTGGCAGCCATAGATGTATCTTCATTTTGCTTCTTAGGTGTACTGGATTTTTCATCTCTGGTTGATAGACTATGCTCCTGGCATCACAAACTCTCCTCATCCACATTTCCTCTGTAATAACTGACTTGAAATATGATATTTTTGTTACCATATGTAATGAAACTGCAACATTTACCTTGTTAGGGAAGTTTCTCGCCTAAACTAGCTGCTTTATGTCTTCTGTATCCCAACTGTATAAGCCATCAAGTTCTATATCCTTCTCATACACAAAATGTGAGCTTTTGTCATCTTGAGGGTCCATTCTTAGCAAGTTGATAAGTTTTGGCAATTACTAAAGATCAATTTGTCTAGAATTTTTTTAAAACACAATACAAATGAGTTCTCTCACATCTCTCTATTGTGTATAGTTAAACTCAAACAGTCAGATAACTTTTTAAGCTCTAAACAGGCAGTTGTATTGATCAGGAAGCTTCCCATTTCCTATTTAAAGGTTGGGTCACAGTCTCTGACCCCTTATTTCTGGTCAACAAAAGGCCTAAAGTTAACCCAAAGGAAATCCAGTCTATTGATCACACCCTCTTTCTGGAAGGTGGGCCCTTCCCAGAAGTCCACATCTGTGCAATCCAGCTCTTTAACCAGCAGAGGGCAGGCCAACCACAGAAAAACTGCCATTGTAAACCTGGGCTACAGTGTCCAGCTGGAGAGTAAGGTGGAGAGAAATAGGGGAGAGAGATTGAGAGCCTAACCTATACACACCATGGGAGTGAGAGTAGCAGTTCTGAGTACCTAAGAGAACCGATTTTCTGGGTTGGAATCCCAGCTCTGCCACTTATTAGCTATGTGACTTTAGGCAAGTTGCTAAAGCTCTCTGTGCCTTGGTCTCCTCATCTGTAAAATAAGGCTAATGATAAGTCCCTACCTCAAAAGTTATGAGGATTAAGTGAGTTAATACATATAAAACTCTTAGAGTAGTGCCTGGTATATAAGAAGCTCTGAATACGAGTATGTTGTTGTTATTGTTATTATATATCAAGAAGTAAAAGCCCTTCTCTTATTTATGTTTCTTAACACAAAAAGAAAATTCATACCGAAAGTCAAAACCAAGTCTGTTTTGGAGGGAGAGAGTCCTCTCCTCTTTAGTGCAATGTTGCTCCCACAGGTGGTTTGTACTCTGCTTACGTGCCACCAGGTGGTGGACGGCTGGTCCCCTGTAATCTGTACCTTTGTCTTGACCCCTGGAATCCCTGACCAGTGCAGCCTCCATGACTTATAGCCACAAGGCGGGGGTGTTGCCGGCACCTCCTTTATTTACACAGAAGGGTTCTTCCCACAGACATGGGGTTCCGATGTGAGGCCAGGTTGGAGTTCCCACACCATGACTTGTTAGGATTGTGGTTTCCAGAGGTTTCCCTCAGCACACCTTTGATCTGGAATCTGAACAAACAGAATCCACAGGGTGCAGCCAGGATGATGTACTGCCTCCTGTGCATCCCCCACAGGGACCCCCCCCCACCACCACCACCATTGTCCTTTTCCTTAAATAGCACTTCTGATCTCTTTGCCAAGACTACTTTCCTTCAACTTCCAGGGGCTCTAAGACATAAAATAAGGACTAAGCTGCCGATACCCGTTTGGCTCAGTGGATAGAGCATCGGCCTGCGGGCTGAAGGGTCCCTGGTTAGATTCCAGTCAAGGGCATGTACCATTGTTGCAGGCACATCCCCAGTAGGGGGCATGCAAGAGGCAGCTGAGCGATGACTCTCATAGATGTCTCTCTCTATCTTGCCCCCTTCCTCTCTGTAAAAAATCAATAAAATATATATATTTTTTAAAATAAAAAAGGACTAAGCTTATACACCTTGAATGTTGGCCTTCCTTTATCTACATCAAGAGGAAGGTTTCAGCTTCATTGTCCATATCATACCTACTGTTAAAGCAGACTGGGATTCCTCATCCTCCAATTGCAATGGGATGTCTGGCCAATTCGCAATTCTCCTTTCTCCCTGTGGTGCTCCAACTACCCTCAGGGATGGGCCTGCTACAGCCACATTTTTACCAGGTTCTTCTCTTCCCACCACACCTACATGGCCTAGTGGTAGGCACTGACCCAAACTAAGCCTATAGGATTCTCTCTCCCAACTATTAAGAATTGGGATTAAA